TTTTGTTGGTCACTCATTAGTGCCCAACCTCTCCTATTTGTTATCTCAAAGTGAGCCATTAGATTTTTAAGAAACTATAATCAAGTGTCTTTATTCTCCACTTTCACAACAATCCAGGCTAGTGAAAACATTTGTTTATTTTCATTTCTTCTCTCCTTTGCATAAAACCTTCAAAAAAAATATCCATCTAACCCTATCACTCTTTTACAGCTAGCCAAGAAGCCCCTTCTACATGCATCGAAGCAGATATACATCATATCAAACTTAGTCCCAATGTTAGGCAGTGGTCTCTCCACGACTTCTACATAAACTCTATCGAATGGGTTCTAAAGCCTACGTTTCCTGGAATACTCTTAGATATGTGCATATTCTTCCTTGAACCTACTCATTATCCCGTGCTTGGCTCTTTTGCACTGATTTCTACAGACATTAACCTCTACTTGCTCTTTAACAAACTGTTTCAACTAAGGACTCTTAATCTCTGGCGTGGCCTTAATAGTGTTGAAGAAATGCTTAACCAACCACACACTAATTACCATTTTATTATCAAATACAATGCCAGAGGTATGTTCCTCCTAGAATGATCTAATATGGATTGAGTCACTCTTCTTACTCAGTGCGCCATATATCTTTCATGGACAATTTTGTTGTAAATGCTTTGCCCTGACAAATTGCTTGGTATTGTTTAACGAATTCAACACTTGTCTATTGAGCAATTGAGTACTTTACAATAGAATATTTGAATTGTTTTGTATTATCAAATTGCATAGATACGCACAACACAGGTTGTTGCAATGGTTGGATCATAAGAAGGATGTTTACTTTTCCTTCTACGCACAACTACTTTATTATCTTCATTCTCATTCTCATCCTCTAAATTATCACTCTCATCATTACCACCACCACTTTCCTCATGTTGTGTCTTATTTCCATCATCCATTAGAGCTCCGTCCCTCACTTGTCTCCTTGACTGTGCAAGTTCATCATCATCATCATCATCATCACTTGTGCAATTTGCATGCCCCAAAGGTTCATCATCTAATTCATTGGACAAAGCAAATTCACAACCCACTCCAGTTCATTCTCATCACTTGTCCCTTCACCAAATACGGGACCTGTCTCTCACTAAAGTAAAAGCTTTGTGCCTTGCTTCACTCTTCTGAATACCCAAATCAATACATGTGTTCATGACTCCTAAAACAAATCCATTTCCAATAAACAATAACTGATTTTATCACTCAGTGGACAAAAAACAACAATGCATCTCACGAAAGACAATAAATCACTCACATTTTTCCTATTACGAGATTCCTCCCTCTGGCACTAAGCCCTGAACTTTTCCCTCCAACCTCCCGCGTCTTCACTTTGTAGGTACAATGAGAAAGGATGTCGCCAATTGAGAGAGAGAGAGAGAGAGAGAGAGAGAGAGAGAGAGGTCAAATTTGAAGGGTGTGGTGTCGTTTCGTCATGAAGGGCCACCTCATCGTCCACATAGGACTTGGCTTTTTTATCACATAGAAATTAAAATCATATTAAAAAGTCACTTAGGACTTTTTATTAGAATTTATCGTCGAAGGCGCTTAAGTGATATATTTTTCTTCGATGTACTTCTGGAGTGATTAATCGAAAAGTTTTGGCATAAAGTGAGCACCTTATGATGATACTTCTAGTGTCCTTTTTCCTAAAAATAAATGTTAAACAGCCTCTAAGAAAAATAAACTGAATAACGTGGGCTCCGAGCATGAGTAGAGAACATGGCTCAGTATTCACCCTTTTCCACACGCAATGAAGATGTTGATGTTAAATTTCCACAGCCTAGTTGACCTCTAGGCAATAAATTGACTTCCTAAAATATCTAGAATTTAGGTTCCTAATCAATCTAAGAAATGACTGATGGCGACAACTGGAATGGATTGGGCATTTGGATTATCATGGCTCATTCTGATTTAGAGAGAGAACACTCTAGACACTAGGATAGATTTTTGCAATTGCATCTTTTTTTTCATAATTTTCAATGTTGCTTGCTTTTCGAAATTTAAAAAATCCGGACCGGGAGGGGCAAGGCTCTACAGTTATTTTTTGCTATTTTGAGTAGTACATACTTGAATCTCTCCAATATTTAATATAGTATTGTGAGATGGCAAACCATTATACTCAGTGCAGATTAGTCGGGTGTTGAGAAAGATTTTGAGAGAAAAAGAGAGAGAATTCGGGAGCTGCATGCTTTTTTTTTTTCTTAACCAATTACGTTATATGTCAAGGCCCATGAGAAAAATACTTTCTACAATAAACGCCAATTATTTTGGGCTAGGTCCAAGCCCCCTCAATCCGTCCTTTGCCGTTTGCACCGAAGTCACTACATTTAAATTATCGTGGAAATTGTAAGATTGTTATTTTTAAGCCAAGCTAAATATAATATTATAATATAAAATCTTAATAATCAACAATCCCTCAAATTAATTCTTGATTAAAAAAAAATGCACTAGGTTACTTTGTGAAGGACCGCTGGACCCATTACTACCTCATATACCATCTCTCGCTCCCCATCCGACTTTTTTTGTTCGATAAAACTTCATTGCATTAGTTAAGGAATAACATTAAAAGACAATAACAAAAGCTTCAGAACATAGTAAATCCCTTAAGACCGATAGGAGATATAAAACCCAATTGTGAGAAATGACTTTTTGTCTATTGGCTTTTATAACCCAGTTCGCTGCTCTATTGATTTTCATCGATGGACTTTTTCTCTACTCTATTGAATTCGCTTGGGCAATGGGACTATTTGGAGGTCTAACAACCGGCATTCTTTGATAAGTGCACTCGCATTCCAAATCGGTTGATTTGAGGCCAAAAGAGCATCGAATGGGGTTATGTGAACCAAATCCTCGCTAATTTCGAAAATATCTCAGAGAAATCCTAACCTCCGCTTATCATTCGTCTCTCTCTCTTCTTCCTCTTACTTGATTCACATATATGAAATGTGTCACGGTAAACTTTCTCCCTTTTATAAGTGTAGCTTCTGTTTTGCTTTTTTTGGACCTAAAGTTCCATTCATAGGGACGTGTTTCGTTAGTCTCGGAAACCATCCAAACAGTCACACATTGAATTATCCGTCAAAGCAAAAACAATTTTTCTATATATAACAGATTACCAAAAAAAAAAATTCCATGGCTTTAAATGCTAATATTTTGGAAGTTTAGATGATTCGTATCAAAACACGACCTGTCCCGTACCACTCTCTTTTACCGAAAACACTTGAAAATAGAAAATGTTTCAAACATATAGATTTAGGTGATTTTGAATCATCGAAAAATCATTCCGGATCTCGAAAACCTCTTCTTCATAAGACAATACCTAAACACTAACTTTCCCAATGCAAAATGAATATCCAAAGAATGGTAATTAGCAGCAAGTCATGAATGCTAATGACAGGGCAAGCGATTAGTACGCGTGTTCGCCTATAAATTTAGCGGTATTTTTAACTCTTCGGTAATAGCGTCCAATCGGGCTCATGGAAGTCTCTTCATCTTTGACAAAGCAACTCGCTCGTCACCGACACTACACGTGTTTCCCATTTCTTAACCATTGATTCGATGAGCCCCAAGTTTAACATCCTAAATACATTGAACATGCATACCATCCATCCAATCAATAATTTTTAGGATAGCAGTCTAGAACACACCAACCATATCGTGGGACAAGTGAACGAGGAAATCCTCAAAACGCAAAGACCCGAGGCCAAGAAAACCGTGGCATTATTCGGAAGCAAAAACACATGGGGGTGCTACAAACAGTCTTTGAGAGGACCCAATTCACTGGCCACACTGATTTTCATTCATTTTTACTTATTTATTTGTTTGCTTTTGTCCCTAGCCTAGTTCATAGGGTACTCCTCTGGGTACGGAGGAGGAAGAGGACAAGACACAGCTTTTTCAATTATTGGTTTGAACATGGAGGGCAAGGGGGTTCATGTCATTTCACACCAAATTATTGCACTGCCCTTGGGCCTTGGTCGTCAACCTCCAGACATGAGCATGTGACCCCCCACCCCCACACAGCCCTACAATTATGGAGGCCCATCAGCCAACAGAGAGCTGGCAGCTCAGCAAAACAACAAAAGTTCTCATCAATCTATTATCCCATTGACCCCCCCAAAAAAAAAAAAAATTCCATTATGCCCAATTTTTTTTTATATTCTTATAGGCAGAAAATGAATTAACCCTTTTCCTATGAACAGTTAATATAGCAAGAAACCATTTGATAAATTTGAAAAAGAGATTGTCCTCGCCGTTTCACCGACGATAAAGTAATGAAAATTCATCGGGAAAAAGGTTTCGGGATCAAGAGACCTTCGAAGGCGCAATTTGAGAGCGAAGAGAAATGCAATTGGTGAATTGGGAAATTGCTAATATAGAATCTCTCGAATCTTAGAGTTAAAGAAAAGGGAACAGAGAACTGTAAATGCCAGGTGTCATGGCAGTTACATAAGAGTAAGTGAGTGGTAATTGATTACAAGAGAAGTGAAATTGATGCTGCGTTCTTTTCCATTTCTCTTTGGTTTTGGGAAACAGCTTGAAACAGAAGCAACAGGCTTGGGGGGGAACAGCTACTCCCATCATCTTTTGCCATTCTGGGACCATCGGCCTCTGCAGCCCACCGAAAGCGTCGTCCTTTGGCTGTCCTTTCCCGGGATATATTATCCACCCCTCTCTCTCTCTCTCTCTCTCTCTCTCTCTCCATGGGCAAGTCTCGTGTGCTTAGCTGAAGCTTAAAGCTCTCAACTTTCACCTCCATATCGATAGTCTTATTCATGTTATTCTTCTCCGTGTTTGCTTTTTTGTGCCTTTTTGTTGCTGGCTCTGTGAAGTTCAGATCTGTGGGGGGGCGGTTCGAGTCTGGCCCATTTGAGGAGAAGGGAAGTTCAGTAGTTATCCCCAGAAGGAAAAGTTGCAGGCGGGTGTCTCTCGTCTTTGCCCACAATGTTGGGCCAGAGATAGGATCTGGACCAATGCCCGTCTGAGCTTTGATGACAGACTTCGCTTCAAAGGGAAGAAGCCTTTTGGTGTGAATTTTCATCCTGGGTATGTAGAGTTTTATGCATTGGGGGAGTTTTGTGAATCTTTCTGGTGCTGCTGAACATCATCGTTGTTGGGTTCCTCTGGTCGGTCTTTTTGGGATTTGAGAGACTGTTGCTGGTGGGTTTTTGAGGGAATGCAGATGGGAAAATCAGCAGCTTTGGTCTTGCTCTATGCGGTGTCCTTCTGTTTAATGGTTGGAGCTGGGAGAGCCCAGCTGAAGACTGTCCTGATAAACTGTGGCACGAATTCTAGTGTTGATGTGGATGGCAGGAGATGGGTTGGTGACTTGGCCGCCAACAATAACCTTACCGTTAGTCCCGCTCCGACGGCCGACACCACCGCCGCGCTGAGCAGCAATACTTCTTTAGGTCCGATCTACGGATCTGCCCGTATTTTCGCGGGCGGATTGAACTATACCTTCCAAGAAGTTCAAGGGGACTATTTTCTTCGGCTTCATTTTTGCCCGTTCACCTTCGATCAGTATAATGCGAATGAATCTGTGTTCGGCGTCGCGGCGAACGGTTTGGGGCTGCTGTCACAATACAGTGTTCCGGGTGATATCGCAACCGAGAACAATAATGGTTCATCCTATCTGATCAAAGAGTTTTTCCTCTCCATCGATTCGAACGACCTCGTCATCGAGTTTCTTCCATCGAAAGGGTCATTCGGGTTCATAAATGGACTAGAATTGGTAGCTTCGGAGGATAACCTGTTTGCTGATGCAATTAGTAAAGTTGGAGGGAACAGTGTGAATCTGAATCTGAGCGGACGGGGCATGGAAACAATGTACAGGTTGAATGTTGGGGGGCCTCAGATCAAACCCAGCCAAGATCCGGATCTATGGAGGACATGGGAGGTTGATACTAGCTACATGACCAATGTCGACGCCGGCTATCAAATAAAGAACAATTCCAATATTACTTATGCTTCGTCCAACGACTCGTCCATAGCTCCCCTTCTCGTGTATGAAACGGCGAGAACCATGTCCAACACCCAAGTTCTTGAGAAGAGGTTCAATATGTCGTGGAAACTCACGGTGGATCCGGGTTTCGACTACCTCGTCCGGTTACATTTCTGCGAGCTGCTCTTTGGACAGCCCAACCAGAGAAACTTCAGAATCTACGTGAACAACAGGACCGCAGCTGATAACTTTGATATCTACGCCCGAGCCGGAGGGAAGAACAAAGCGTATCACCAGGACTATTTGGATGCGGTCTCGTCGAGAGTCAGCACATTGTGGATTCAGCTTGGGCCCGACACGGCCACTGGTGCATCCGAAACTGATGCTCTCTTAAACGGTCTGGAGATATATAAGCTGAGCCGAAATGGAAATCTTGCCTATGTAGGTGCATTCAATTCAGCTCAAAACACAACAAACAAGTCGAGAGCTCGTAGTCTCTTGGCAGGAATTGGAGCCGGTATAGGCTCTGTGCTGATCCTCGCATTTGCGGTTACCATTGTCTTCCTTCTGAGGAGAAGACGGAGAAGCGAGATCGGTAGTAAAAATAACGCTCTCGGGTGGCGGCCACTCTTCCTTCATGGGGCCATATCGAATACAACCACTAATGCCAAGGAAGCTGCGGGAACCAAGAACCAGAACGGGTCTGTCGCCTCGATGAGATTGGGGAGGCGATTTACGGTAGCAGAAATCAGAGCAGCGACCAAGAACTTCGATGAGAAAATGGTCATTGGAGTAGGGGGCTTCGGTAAGGTGTACAGAGGCGAAATCGAAGACGGCACCCTCGCCGCCATCAAGCGTGCCCATCCTCAGTCGCAGCAAGGCCTTGCAGAATTCGAGACGGAGATCGAGATGCTCTCGAAGCTGAGGCACAGGCATCTGGTGTCCATGATCGGGTTCTGCGAAGAACAGAACGAGATGATCCTGGTGTACGAGTATATGGCCAATGGAACTCTGAGAAGCCATCTCTTTGGCAGTGATCTTCCGCCGTTAAGCTGGAGGCAGCGACTGGAGGTCTGCATAGGAGCTGCACGAGGACTGCATTACCTTCATACCGGAGCCGACCGAGGCATAATCCATAGGGATGTCAAGACAACCAACATTCTACTCGACAAAAACTTGGTGGCGAAGATGTCGGATTTCGGATTGTCGAAAACGGGTCCTGCCCTGGAACATACCCATGTTAGCACCGCCGTGAAAGGGAGCTTCGGATATCTCGATCCCGAATACTTCCGGCGACAGCAACTGACACAGAAGTCTGACGTGTACTCTTTCGGCGTCGTGCTGTTCGAAGTCGTCTGTGCTCGGGCCGTCATCAATCCAAGCTTACCGAAGGATCAGATAAACCTTGCGGAATGGGCTTTAGGGTGGCAACGGCAGAGATCGCTCGAAACCATCATCGATCCACGTCTCGGGGGACAATACTCGCCAGAGTCGATGAAGAAGTTCGGGGAGATAGCAGAGAAGTGTCTTGCTGACGAGGGGAGGAGCCGACCGACCATGGGAGAGGTTCTGTGGCACTTGGAGTACGTCCTGCAACTCCACGAGGCTTGGCGGCAGCGGGCGAACGACGCAGAAAGCTCCTCCCTCAATGTCGAGAGCTCGGAAGACTGCCAAGCGGCGGGAGGAGCAGAGGAGAGGCGGAACCCTCTGTTTACAGGCCCGGATTCAGCAATCGGCCGGAACACAGAGGGGAACGGCGAATCTGTGGCCAGAGACGAATAAAGAACACATGGTACACGACTAGCAAGGAGTACAGACCGCGTGTTTTTACATTCTTTTATACGTTCTTCCTAATTCATTCCGATTCGTTTCATTGAAATTTCGGAGTACCTGTAAGGCTCGCGATTGTCCTAAGAATCCTGAGGGGGGTCGAGTTCGTAAGAAAACCGAGAGTTTTCGCGCATTGTCTATGCTTCTATCTTTGATCTTTCATCATCACTTCGTGTCTGATTCGGTGCTGTTTTGGTGTTTGAATACTTCTTGGTATCAATGCAATGAAGCAAAAGCTTGAATTAGCAGCATAACGAAACTTCAGCCGTGGCTACAGAAAACTTCCTAGCAAACGATACTCTATGAGCCTAGCGTGCCTATTCCGAAGACTTGTTTCCAACTTCGCCGATCAATGGTCGAGCCTCTTCTCTTTTCCTCTAGTCTGCACCCGGATCGGGAGCGGGCAAAGATTTACATCGCCGGCGATGTCTTCAGGAAATACATTCCTCTCTACGAACCTCCAGTTTGGATTCGGGATTTCCCCTTGCAGCGCTTCTCGTCCTACGATCGAGTGAATAACCAACATCGGTTGCCTGCTTGAGTGTGCTAATAATCATTTGTAAACGAATCGCGGGGGGGCCGACAATGAGCAGTTTAACTAAATTTTCCTTTCGGCCACTGCTCGGACGTCGAAAGCGAAATTTGCACTCAACAAAACAAAGAAAAGTTACTGAAGCCGACATCTCGCTTACAGAAACCGCCGCAGGGCCGTCTCTGCGGGTTTTGGTCCCTTTTAGTTCTAGCAATATGTATATACATAGGCTCCATTTGGTTCAACTTTCGACCTAGCATTGGCAAAATGCTAGCATTTGGAATGCCAAAAGTCCAAAGCTGATCCAGACCAGCTTTGGGCTTTCAGTATTCCATAAATGCTGATCCCAAATTTTTTTTTCCAAAACTACCCTCACTTATTTTGGCTTATTTCGATTTTGCCCCTCTTGATACTGTTCATCTTCTTCGTGAGGCGGCCGGCAAGGAAGGCCGGCAAGGGCGGCCAACACCGGATCGAGTCGGCGCCTGAGGTCGTGCGACCCTCACCGAGGGTCGCCTAGCCTCAGGCAACAACCGCCGACGATAGATCTAGCTCGCCGGGGGTCACCCGACCTCGGGCGACGGCCGCCAGCGCTAGATCTAGCTCGCCGGCGACCGTAGGCCTTCGCCGGCTCTAGCGAAGGGTAGGTCTTTTTTTTTTAATAAAAAAGATAATTTCCAAAGCCTTTTTGCAAAAAAAAATTTACCAAACACTACTTGGGCCAAAATAGCTTTACAACCAAACGCCACTAACATTACCCCAAGGGACTTTAACCTAAAAATATTTGCATTTCCCCAAGTAACATTTGAAAAGTTGAATCAAACGGCCCATAATCGCTCCTCTTGCTCGTCACTTCTTAGTTCTTATCCAGCATACCAGAGCAGCTAAAAAAAATAAAAAAAAAATACCTAAAAGAACCAGTGATTTTCAGGAAAAGGTGTCTGATCGGTTCGAATGTGCCTGTGCTTGTCCTACTTAAAAGAGTTTCAATGAATCAATGGTTAGTCCGTGCTCCATAACATGAAGCGAGATTGCTATTGCCGACGAAAGACAGACCAGAATCAGAAATGAAAATCTTCTGATCCCGAAGCATAGTAACAGTGCCCTTTCGAACAATCAATCATGTACAGTTGTATAGCCTGTTCCGTCATCCCCCGAAAAACAAAAACGATGCCACCTATATCCAGTCGCTTCCCACGTTAGCTCTTTGTCCACTCTAGCCTCGTGCGGTCCGATCAAAATCTGTACAGTCTACGAAACTCATCAATCGAAAGATTCAGATGTCTCGCATCTACTCCATTCCCAAATAACATTGTAGTGACGAACTGGTTCCTCGTCCTCGATACGCTCGTCTCGCTGAGGCAATCTTTTGAAAAGAGCGATCTGTGAAGCGAACCCGGGTTCGCGGTCAACAGAACCACCGACACCGCTGAACTCGACGCCGTAGTTGTTCCTCGAGGCCAAGTTCCTTGCCCACAAGCCGAATTGCTCTCTGGTCCACTCGAACTTGTGATCGTGGTTGCGGAATCTACAAGACTCCAACTGCCCTTTCCCCTCTGCTGCCTCCTCTTGGCTTGACAGATCAGATTTCTGGAGTATGACATTGTATTCATAGTTTGGTGTGGACACGATCAGAACACTGGGCCGAAATGAGCTCAGCACGAGATCTCCAAATAGAGATGCCTGATCTTCCTCCATGTGCTCGATCACCTAAAGCATTTCAATTGTAAGTACATCTAGCAACTGAGCTCCTACAAAGCAAATACATGTCTCTGCATGTACTAGCACACGTCCCGAGCAACAGCACTTGAATCTTCAACATCGACGTGTTATGTGAACATTCGACAAACAGCAGTACAGATAATGAACTACAATGAAACACACTGAAATTAAGAACCAGATGATAGAATCTAAACTGTACCAAATATCAACAGGCCACGATCTTTTATAAGTAGTTGTAGATACCGACTCACTCCTAATACCCATCAAACTAAAAGTAACATCAGATGAACAACAGTGACTCTGACTATATTCAAGACACTGCTTCTGCTTCTGATGGATGCAGTCAAGACTATTCAACTGCTACTTAAGTGGCGTTCCCTGAAGGTGAGCAACTTTCAGAGGCGACGATGGATCGGATTTAAGTACTTCTGGACCTCGTGTTCACCATTCATGTTCAGTAAATAGCAATACAAACAATCATAACCAGGCAGAAAACTTGATTCAAGAAAGGAGACACTGAAATCCTGGGCTTTCTAGGACTGGCAGTTAGAGGATCAATCTAGATGCCATGGTCATATAGTGTAGTGAATCATGTATTCGCTGGGTCTAATCATCCTCATTTCATAATACATAAGTTATGCAATTGCCACAGCATGCTTATAAACATTTAAACATGGAAATTCTAACATCAGTTTGTTTATTTCTCATTCAGATCACTTATACTTTAAAAGTTATTAAAATGTGTATAACATGATATGTGTGCACTATAAGAACTCACAGGCATGCACAAATATTCGTCTTTTTTCAACGAAAAACCATGTAAAGATAAGAACTCACATGCTGCATTACACAGGTCAGTCACATAAGTTATGAAAACTCGTTAGATTAATTAACTAGACATTTTATAGATATTGCATCATGTAACCTATTTAATAACCAATCTATGCTAGCGTTGAAAGATTTGACAAAGTCGCTAGACATGTCATGTTCATACCATCAAAGTCAGTAACAACCCTCACTTGATCCATTTAATACTCATTTAACTAAAATGATTATGACACAAACACCAATGCCAGCTTGAAGTTTCTAGTCCAAGACAAAAACCAATTACATTAACGTTTAATGTGAGATGAGGCACTAATGAAACAAAAGTAAACGTTAAAGAAGCGAAAAAGTGTCATATCTGCTCAATTTTACAAAAAAACGAAAGGTCGAAATGTAAGAACTTTGGATATGAATGGAAGAGATGCGACGAAGATATGCATCTAGCTTCTAGAACAAATGTAGGATGCAGATTAAGTTCAAGAGGAACTTCTGTAAGATTATAATATGACTAAGATACGTTTTGTGAGACAAAGTCAAAATGGTCATCTTCCAAAACTGGCATATGCAAACGAAAAATTTAATTTTCTCAATTCCTATGAAGAATATGCATCTTCGCATGGAGCTTTTTCAGTTGAATTCTCTCTCTCTTTCTCCTCATCTCATCTCCTTGCATTCGACTCCAATTAGCTTGTGGAAAACAGAATATGTCTTTGAAATGAGGAAATTAAACATCATTAAGTCATATCTCCATAATAAATTCACTGGTGCATTACTTTGCAACATCAGCAACAGAAAGGATGGGCATAAAGTGCAGAGAAAGTAAATGAATGTAGAAAATATTGAACTCGAACAGTGAATGCAACAGGAAAGACTATCATGGTTATAGAAGGAATAGCAGACACTCAAACAATTCGACTCCACATTATTTACAAGGAGAACAAATAATTAAGTCATACCTCCAGGCAAGTGCCAATGTCAAAACCACAGATACGAGGATCAAAGACAAGGATTGAACCATCATAAAGTGTTGCAGACTGGATGCCTCTGCATGGCAAGTCAGCATCACAACTTCTGCTTAACTTCGAGTGCAATACCTACAATAATGGAAGAGAAAAAGCCCTTCAAAAGACAAGTTATCAACAAGAGAGCAAACAAGTGCCATCTTGTATGGTTAACTGATAAATAGAAATGCAACATTCTCCTATACTGGCTGAATTATTATAAAAAACAAAGGATACAAAAAGTTCTGAAATATGAGAGGAAGCTTTTCAGTTGAAAGGTGTCGCAAGTGTTAATAAAAGCAAATCAGTAAGGCGCAACCTCCAGGATGATATGATAGTTTGTGTTGCAAGTGGAATTAACTGCATAGTGCATGAAAAGAGACTTGTAGAAACAGGAGGATTTAAAGATTATAGTCATTTGGGGCCATAGGTTGCCAGAAATTAAATAACAGCACACAGCAGCAGTAGCAGCATTGTACTTTTGTGGATTGTGAAGTGTTCCAATCTTGTTACTTCTTCCTGGCAATTACAGAGGAATATTTGCAATACAAGAATTTGAATGATCAGGATTTTGTTATAGTTCTGACAGGTCTAATTCAAGCATAAATGAAAAGAAAAACAAAATTATGCGCATGTTCAGCAGAAAGATCAATTTATGTTGTCTAATCATCAACTTCACAACAAACTTTTGGAACTAGAAAATACTAATTAGAAAAGGTATCGAATCCTGTTTTAAATTAACCATGACTCTGATCATTAGCCTATCTAAAACCACTTGAATCCATATTGCTACCACTCAGAATTTTCTCTTGGTACACATGAAACAATGAACAATTGCACATCAGCAGCCCAAGTAAGAAGATGAGGCTTTATGATAGGATGTAGATGACCAGTAGCACAATTTCACCTAAAAATGCATGAACAAATGCTTCAGAAAAAATTTCAACTCTCGAGTACTTAACTATGCAAAAGGCAACAATATAAAAGATCTGCATAACTTACCCTATATAGTGAAGAAAAGGCCCAGTTATTTGTTGTTGGTTAATTACCCATTTGGATTTGTCTTCATATACTTTTAAAATGTATGAAAGACATCAAGAAGATGCTCTTCCTCTATGTAAGTACATGAACATGCAAATCCTAAGTTTCTGTATCTCATAGTCGCAAATGCAAATCTACCTAACTCCTGTCATCATGTAGATAATAAGATGACCAAAGAACCATCATGACATTTAGCGAATGATTCTAAATTCATTACACGAAAATTGGTTCACTACCATCCGGAGCAGACTAGATTCCGCGCAGTTTTATTTTATATAACTTTCTAGTGGATGTGAAAGGAAGTAGGTTTAATTCACAAAATCCCTCTCACACTTAAACAACTGTCTTTGTGAGAGAACTTGAAAAGAAATGTGGTTTTAGATTACAAAAGAAAAAAGAAGAAACCTTTGCTGCACGACTAAGACTCTTGAGTGAGAGGTCAACGCCAACAATCTTTCTCAGCGAGGTTGGATAGTCCAACAGGGATTCCAGCAAACTTCCAGAGCCACAACCAAAATCAACCTGCAAAAGCAAGCTGAGAAGCTAAATATCTGCTGTCATTCCAAAATTAGACAGTTTTGAGCCGAGACAATGCGAACTGAACAGGTACCAAAGTAGTTGCGCCAGATTTCTTAATGTGTTCCACAGCATATTCAACCCGTTGCTTTGAAAGAGGAGGGCTAAAAAGGGCCTGCTCCATTCTGTCCTCCAGAGGCTCTGTTACCTTCAATAAGGTGATGCAGTATTCCAAGCGGCACATATCTGTAACATCAAGAACATTGGACAAAATGCAAGACCCAATCATTATCACATGAAAATCTCAATAAGGTGATGCAGTATTCCAAGCAGCACATATCTGTAACAGCAAGCATTGGACGAAATGCAAGACCCAATCATTATCATATGAAAAGCAGCAAAGGAGTGGATAATAATGCAACAGAATGAAGTTCAAGATCCTTAATGTCAAACGGCTGCTTAGAACGAAAAAACAACTTCCCGTTGATTTTCTTAAAATTCAAAGGTTAATGAATTAAGTACAACATGTCTTAAGAATGTGGTTCTTGGTCCAACAAAACAATCATGAATTATGATGACGAAAAGAAAAGATATCATGTCAAGTGACATGACAACAATTCAACCAGGCTGTAACCATGAGATAAAAGGAAGAGTAACTGACTTGAGTTAATTAATGAAAGTGCCCTTGCAGAATCATTAGCAGCGGCCAAAATTAGCTCTTGGGAGGGCAAATCTACCAAGAAAAATGCAGACTGACCAACAGACATCTGAGCCACAGCTGCTTCAACATGAGGATTAACTGCTCTGGCCCCCATCTCAAATTCAAATTCATGAGAACTTTCAATAAGTTCCTTTGTATGCCCAACTTCTGTCACCAAACATGCAGAATAACATATGCATGCCAAGAACCCATTAGATGGACAGATGCCTGATTCTGGCCCTTCTATCCTTAGCAGATAATTTTCATGTTCTCCTGTGGCTTGTGGAACATCAACACAATTGTTGGCTTTAATTGTTCTTCGCTGGTTGAGGTACATGGTGGAGCAGAACTTAAATTCCTTAAATAAATGTTGGGGATTAAACTTTATGTTGATCGCATCAGCTAATGAATTAAGCTTCTCCAATGGCATATTAAAATCCTGAAAATATGAACTCAACCAGGAGAGAACTTTCAGAGAAGCATTCTGAATACAATCAGTCTCTTTCCTGTAAGAATCTTTGGGAGAACACTGCAATAACAGATCCTGTAGCTTTGACAGAACTTTTACTTCACATCTGAAGTTGCTCACTGATTCCACAGTTTCATTGTCACCATGATTAGCAGCATTTTCATTTGTGTGCCCTGTGTCCTCCGTCGATTCTGTAACTTTCAGCTTCTTTTGTGATCCAGACAAGTCAGACAGTGCTTTTACAGGATATCTTGAAATAGTGAAGACAGGTTCAGACAATCGATGCTGACGACAGAATGTACAGAGAATTTCCCTTGGGAAAGTACCCCTCCAGTTACTCTTTATTGTGAAAACAACTGGCAACTCTGCGGCAGTTGTTGACTCTCTAGACAACTTGTAAGGTCCACTTGGTGTCTTATAAATGAGCATTCTGCACAAGCAGTTGCAAAATGGATTGTATAAGCATTTAAGAGTTGCAAAGAATGAATGATGCAAGATTCATATTACTCAAGAAGCTATTTGCCTTGACTTTGCAAAAGTGAGAAAATACTTCCTAAGCTACTTTAGCATTCAAACTAAAACTGTTTGGCAAAGAAACCTTTGCTCATCCGAAGTACCTGTAATATAACTTCAAGAATACATCTTCGTGAAAAAGGTCTTTGGACTTCCATGTAAATCCAATTGATGCCAGAATTGCACCACCATAGACCTCTTGACCAGCTAAATAACTAGCCCTAGTATTCATAGAGCCTTCAAAAATATCAGGTTTCTTTCCATCCAGATCTGATGATGGCTCCACAAACTGCAAGTCAGAAGCAACAAAATACAATCTTGTCTCGGAAGAAGCTTTTCCTATAGGACTGTCCACCAGAAAATATACAACTTCAGTACATCAAGAATTAATAAAGGACGTGATATTTCAAGAACCCCCCCCCCCCCCCCCCTCCTTCTTTCCTTCCTTTGTTTTTTAAGTGGGGCATAGGCGGGGAGTGAGGAATAAGGAGATCGCACTTACCGTGAGACTAGGATCTTAGAAGCATCAAGCAGACCAAGCTTTTGTGCAATGACATCCAGGTAGTACGCGGACGAGGAAACATTTAAAGTTACAGGCTTGATATCCTCATTCAATGAACTTGGAATTAATAAGGCCTGAACGCATACACTACCAAGAATGGAAGATTGTTCAACTAACAATGGCTCTATAACCTCAGGAGGGTACGGATTTTGCCTCCGAATCCAAAGCTGTCCTTCAGTAGCAGTAATCAGGGTAGGTAACGTTGCAGCAGCTCGCAGAACAAAAGAGATTACCAAACAGGGATTTGACTCCACCTTAGGATCAATTAGTTTACATAAAGTACTGATCTTCCCATCATAGACAGCAATCACAGAAACAGGAACTGCACCATAGAGATCACCTTCTCGGATTAAAGCAGCTTTAAAGTGACCACTCAGCGGATGTTGAGATGCAAGGAACTGTATCATAATGAACAGGTTGTCAAAAGAATGTACTTGGTGCCAAGAATGAGCAAAAAAGTTCCACAGCCAGATAAAAGAAATTGTGGAAACAATAACATGCATACTACCAGTTGAATTTAGGACGATTGCCCCCTAACCCACCCATCCCCATCATTCTTAACATGATTAATCTAGAAGGACAATAAGTTCTTTTCCTTTTCCTGGTTAAAAACAGCTCAACAATGGAACTGCAATAAAATTCATCACGCAACTAAAATCACGGCTCCAAGCTCGAATGATTGCCAATGATCAGCATCAACAACCCAAGAATCTTCAGATAATATAAAAGCGGCAAAGGGATTAAATAGACAATGTAGATCATGTACAAGAAGCTATTACAAACAACATGTTTTTAATGCAGCAATGCTGAGATGACATATTGCCATCCTCTAATTAGCTTATTTGAGGCACTAATGCATACTTAAAAGGATACAAACCTCATTAGAGAATAAATATGCAACCCGAGAAACTAATTCTTCCCCTGCATCAGGTACATCGGGATTGTGCGTTAAAGGATGAATACCCAGCTGCAGAACAAGACACAGATTAAGTAGAAAGAAATTCGCAAAAGAAGAGACTGATTTGAATAGCAGTAAATCTCGAACATAAAACATAATACAAAGAGGAAGGAAAATTAGAACTTCCTCATCCCACTTATATGAAAACTTTGGCCAAAACCATGGCTCTCAAATATGTATATAGGACCCTCCACGACTACCCAAACAACACATCATTGTCAAACCCATTCCCAATGCCCATGCTACACTTTGTAAGACAAAGTTAGCAAACTTCATGATCACCCTTAGACAACCAGTCATATGATGGTGCATAAATTCCATAAGACAGACTAATTTGACTGATGGCACCTAAATTGCTGGTTGGCCACTAATCAACTGTTTCAGCCAATGTTCCTAAGAAAGGATCTATCTCCTAATGAGGATCAGTGCAAAGTCTAATTATAATTTCATGTCCGAGTGTCAAATAAAATCAATGATTCCAAGGGATTCAAGCTACTCTGTTTCATAAATACACTAAACACCTAAATGTTGGCATCCTGAGAATGATGATTAACTCAGTCAGATGAAACGAGGAGTCCTTTACTCTATCTCTGGATTCCAGTATCTTTCTGGGGCCATACATCCAGACCATACTTTGTGGAAAGAATCACATCTCTAGACCATAGTTTGTTGTAATTTGTTTTCCATTACAGTAAAAATGTAGAGAAAACCCAAAAGTTTGTGCCAGGATCATTTCTAACAGAAACTATATTGTACTCTGTAATGCTTCTTCTGATTATATATCTCTAGACAAAACAGTACAGAACAAGGGGTACTCTTAAAGGCAAATTTTATTTGCATTAATCTCCATTGTAAAACCAGATGCAGGAGTGGTAATGACACCCAGTTTCAAATAGCATTCCAACAGAATTCTGTTACTAAATAAAAGGCATATGAAAGAATATACTCAACATACATATCTAGATGAATGTATATTTGAAGGAGTAGTTCATAGAACAGCTATTCAAACAGAAATTGCTGTTGGAGGGAAACCAAGGATGAAAGCAAGCACACTTTACATCCTGCCAAAGACAACACCAAACCAAGGTAGAAATGCCATGCCAGAAAAAAGCTAACGTTTGTTTTCCCTGATATGAACATTGCAAAATATTGAACGGCTAACCGTAATGAACGATCCACAAAGATTCTTAAAGCGATTCACGAATAACAAGAGAAACAAGAATTCCAATGTAATATCATTGAGATAAGACAAACATATAATGCAGTTAGCGATAAACAACGATGATACGAACTCTTTAAAGCTCGAAATCACTTCACACTAAACATCAAACGTCCACAGGGTAAAGTAGCACGAGGCAATTGCCAATTGCAGACAATGTGATCAAATAAGAAATAGTAGCGCCAAATGGACAACCTTCCGAAGAGCCATCTCGGCAGCATCTTGCTCAGCATCCTTCTTTTTCTTGAAAGTTCCAGAGAGAATGGAAAGTTCAGGAAGGTTCAACCGGCAGCGATACAGGCAAGGGCCCTTTTGCGGGATGCACAGTCCCGGACACCCATTTTGAACAACCTCTGGAACTTCCTCCACTTCATACGAAGCCCTGATTCCATACTTCTGGTATATAACAGCTTTCGGCGTGATCGTCGCCTTCTTCCCCTCCGGAGCTGCAGCCCCCGAACTTCCCATGCACGAACTCCTGCGCTCGGACAGCGACGAACTAATGAGCGACACGATACGCAGAGAAAACAACTCGCACCGCGATCAAGCACCGACTACTCTCCTCCGTCAACATATTCAGACAAACGAACATAAAACTCGATTCTCCGACGAAGCGACGCATGAAAACAGTAAGAATTTGCGGAGAAAAGCTCTCGATTGTCTCCGACGACGTCGGCCGCATTCGCGAACCGCCGCGACGAGCCATTCCGAACCGAAAGTCGCACCTCCGTTCGGGCTCAAACGAACAAAAAACTCGATTCTCCGACGAAACGACGCATGAAAACAGTAAGAATTTGCGGAGGTAAGCTCTCGATTGTCTCCGACGACGTCGGGCGCATTCGCGAACCGCCGCGACGAACCGTTCCGAACCGGAAAGCAGCACATCCGCTCGAGCTCGCGAGCGGTGGGGGAAACCTAACGGAGTACCGGCTCGAGAAGGGGCGCGGAAGAGAAAACCGAACAAGGAGTTGCTCGCTCGCTCGCGAGAGAGAGAGAGAGAGAGACGGTCATTTCTACCTTTGCGATTACGGAGGAATGCGCATGGAGAGACCTCGCCGGAGGCCGGAGGCTATCGAATCGGCGGGCGGCGAGAGGTGGCGGCGGTCGGCGAGCGGCGGCGGGCGGCGGTGGAGGGGGAATCGGCGCTGCGGCGAGAGAGAAGAGCAAGTGAGGCTCGGTCGTCGCCGTGACTGTGGTGTGACTGTTGAGAGAGTTTCAGGGGAAGGGAAGAGAAGGGGGGGGCGCTGCCCCCGATGAACGTTAAGTTAAAATTTATAAATTACATTAAATAAATTAAAAATTCATAAATCACGTTACGTGCATCCCAGACGCCGGGAGAAGCGCGTGGCGGCCAAACAACTTCCGGCTGAAGGCTGTGTGCTGCGAAAAGGAGGAGGAGAACCGTCGCGAACCCCGCGCCACCGCCACGCCACGACGCGCCGCTTCATGTGGGCCCCACTTGGGGTCCCGAATGGAATTTCCGAAAAGTTTTTTTTTTAGGTTTTTTATTTTGTTTTTTGGTCGAAGAAAAAGTATTTTACTCTGTTTTTTTTTTGGGTCGAATGAGAAAAAGTGTTTTATTCGATCGCTGAAACAGAAGGAATTTTGGCTGGTTAATCAATTTAACGCATTTATATATTTGTTTTCATCCATTGCGTTTTAATTTTTTCAAATATTCATTCAAACTAGGGGAAGAGTATTAACACGCATTTATCTTTCTATAAATATCTGTAAGATTATAAACGGTAGATACGTAAAGAATTCGGATGCTCATCAATTTTGTCAAACAATATTTAGAATATTACAGCAAATTAGCGACATTAGGGATGTGCATCGATTTTTTTTTTTTAAGCTTTTGCTTATGTAAGGCATTTTTGGAAAATTTTGGAGACATCGCTCGTTTCAAATTTGATGATTTAGATAATGGGTGCCGCTAATAAACTACTTTCCATGAAAATAAATCCTCATCCTCTTTCTCGGTAAGTTTGAAAATATATAAATGACTCGATCAACAGCAAATTAATATCATATCAGCAAACACGATTTTGACACAAGTACAATTACTACGAAACTCGATTCATCAATTTCAACCAAATGTTCCCAAAGCAGAAATGTTTAGTGTTCTCCTTTCGTGGAGTTTTAATTTTCAGTCTATTTTTTAAATTTAGTTATTTCGAATTAGGTCGAACCGAACCGACCCGAAAGAAAAAAAAATGTCGGGAAAAACCCGGCTCGCTGGGTGCTTTTGCACCCTTAGTACGAAGTGGGGGTAGGTGAAGGCGCGAGTGGCACTTCAATGCCACCCTCCTTCATGCGTGGTGAATTTTTTTTGTCAATCTACCCGTTTTAATGTAATGAAGATTTTACAATCAATTTTTTTTCCTCAAAAGGAAAAATTTTGTTTTAGCTAAAACTCAAAAGGGCAGCATGGGATCGATGTAAGATGACCCACGTAAAAAATGATTTTTTTACCTAAAAAAACATCTAGAACGAATTGAGAATGTAATGGACAAAATCCGGAAAGCTTTAAAATTCACTTCGAGGGTTCTCTCATTTAAAATCTGACACCTCCGGTTTGGATAAATATGACATGAATGTACCAGTTTGAGGGCAAATGTGATACGAATGTACCAGTTTGGAGTTTTTTACAACACAAAAATTGATTTGTAGTAAATATGGTACGGGTGTATCGGTTCAGGGATTTTTGTAACAAAATAATTAGTTTATAGTAAATGTGACACGGATGCACTAGTTTAAGGTTTTTGGTGATTTTAGCCCTTCTTAATTTTATTATCAAGGCTATGTTTGGTCGCCTAAATTTGTTGATTGGACAAAATAACGCCAGATCACATAAAAACATGGTGAAATTTCTAATATCGTACTTATAAGACTAGCGAAGGAGGATATATCTTATCCCGTATAATGTTTATCATTGGAATTTTTGCTAAAACTCAAAAGGGCAAACATGGGATCGATGTAAGATGACACGCATAAAAATTTCTGTTTTTTACCTAAAAATTCCATCCAGGGCGAATTGAAAATGTGATGGACAAAATCCGAAAATCTTTAAAATTCACTTTGAGGGTTCTCTCGTTTAAAATCTGACACCTCCAATTCGGGTAAATGTGATACGGATGTATCAGTTTAGAATTTTTTATGATGCGAAAACTAGTTTGTAGTAAATGTGATGTGGGTAAACCGGTTCAGGAATTTTTGTGACAAGATAATTAGTTTAAGGTAAATGTGACACGGATACACTAGTTTAAGGTTTTTGGTGATTTTAGCCCTTCTTAATTTTATTATCAAGGCTATGTTTGGTCGCCTAAATTTGTTGATTGGACAAACTAACGCCAGATCACATAAAAACACGGTGAAATTTCTTATATCGTACTTATAAGACTAGCGAAGGAGGATATATCTTACCCCGTATAATGTTTATCATTGTGTCATCAAACTAGATTATATATATAATATAAATAACCAATTTTTCATATTTAAGAAAAAGGAATAATAATAACCATGGTCATGCCTAACCATCGCGGGGCGGTCACCTCATAGAGGAAGCGACTCCCGCAAGTTGGTCGCCTCTTCGAGGAAGCGACTCCTCGATTTGTTGCATAAAAGCATCGTATGTGCTTTCTGCTTTTATGTATGTTGACACGTGTCAAGCGATTTCATCAGAAAAGATTAAAGATGTTTTATGATTAATTTAGGAAGAACATAATACCTCGATTTAATTCGGTGGAACGACTCTCGTATGAACGGGTTAAGAGACATTAAGGGTGCATTTATTTCGCGAAAAATAAATGATTGATCATTTTTATCGCTTATAAAAATGAATGAACGGAAATTATTTTCGTCGTCTATGAAAATGTTTAGACATAAATTGCTATCGATAACAAAAACATTTTTCACTGGCAAATTTTTTCAAGCGATATAAGCGATTATATTTTAGGAAAATATTTTTCAAATAATTTATTTTTATCGAAACAAACGAAGCCTTCAAGAAATGAGTTTATGGCTCAAATTATTTTGCAGACAAACACTCGTGCGGGATCTGATTGAAATATTGATAAGCAAAGGTCGAGATAGGAAGTGACATAATTAATTGCTCGATTAGTCCGGAGGGAAATGCTAATGAGGAATCGAACGGAACCATCGGTACGAGATTCGTCGCGAATTCTTCGATTTTTATGTAGCGATTGGTCCAGAATTGTATCAGATGCTTGGTTGGAGGGCATTCGGAGGGAATGGAAGAATGATAATAAGGGCGATTCGAATATCAGTCCAGACTTTTCATACTCACAAGCGGGGTCGGGACCGGATGGGTCGAAAATGGATCAACTCAAATCGACATATTTAATTCATACTAACCCATTTTTTCTCTAGATTTTGGCATGCTTTTCTTTTTCTCTTTCATGCTAGTAGCCAATTTGGGGTAACTTGGGGTGCTTGAGGTGCCCCACTCTAGGCCACTAGAACTTTCTTTTCCAAAAGAAGGTAAAGGTGACGTCCGATGAAAGAACCAGGTACCATTTGGCCCATTTTCCCCACCATCCCAAACCTTTGATTCAAATGCTTTAAAAGGATGGATCTGAGTCAAGTCCCATTTAGATCCATTTTTAGTTGGTACATGCTCTTTGCGACCCGATATAGCCCCCGTCCATAGAATCGAAGCGACCCGTTTTAAGCTCGATCCGGCAAGCGCGAGTGGAAATATGGATCGGCGAACCCATATTGTCGCCGCAATTTTCATTTGCTTTGAGGGCAGGAAGAGAATGGACGGATGGGTTTTACTATGAAGCCCTCGAAAAATAGAGCGATCGGGACGAAAAACCGATGTTCTCGATTTCTCTTCTCCTCTCTTCTAACAACATTTACGGGGCATTGCGCGTTAGCCGATCTATCGCTTATCTTTTTCCCGATAATCGAATTACTGATGTTCTTTCTCGAATCGCTCTATCCAAATGAAACGGCGTAGTTCCCAACGTGTTCATATAGAAGTAGCGCTTCGTTCCAAGTGTCGCATGTTAAGGCTTATGATGCAAATTAGTTTGTTGTTAATGCGTCTTTTTTATTCTTTTTTTATTCTTATTTCATTAATATTTTCTTGATTGCAGAAAAAGATAATTCATTTTCCTATGCTAATAAACTAGAATTTCCTATACCAAACTCGTTGCCTTATTCTTGCTACACTGAGAAAAAAAAAGGGTTTTTTTGGTCCAAAAAAAGGAAAAAAGGTGAATAAAATGGAAAAAAAAAATTATTATGAACAGCCAAAATATCTTCTGATCTGGAAGGGGCCAACACCGGTCAAAACCACCAATGAATTGCGAAACCTTTCAGTCCAATCATCAACAGCCCTCTAAGGAAAGTTATCCTACGAACGGGACAAAGGGATGCCAAGAGTCATATCATATGATACACGAAAATAAAATAGAGTAAAGGGTCGTTTGATTTCGCAGAAAATTCAAAGCGGCACCCAACGAGGTCGTTGTGGCCTGGGCGAGAGCCGATCTAGAGAGTCGGCCGAGCCTCGTTTGTGGCGAGCGACGGTGACCTCACCCAAGCGAGGTCAACCTGCCTAGTGGCCGGCCATCGCCTGTGGTCAGTCACTGGCCAAAGGTAGAAAAATTGAAAAAAAGAAAAAAAATCAGAAAAAATAATTCAAAAATCGATAAATATTAAAATATTATTAAAAATTATTCACGTCAGCACCGGCAGTGCAACATAGGTCGATCGGCGTCCACGTCGGTAATATCTGGCCAAAATTAGCAGGAATGACTGAATTGGCACAAAAATAAAATGTTTAGGACTAAATTGACACTAAAAAAAGGTTTAGGACTAAATTGGCATCAACGCAATAGGTTTAGGACTTTTCTAATACTTTTCTTGAGGATTTTATGATCGAGCATGTAGGATTTCTGTAACAAGGAGGTGAACAAGAAATTGCTGAAGAAGAACAATGGGAACATCGAGTGCCTGGTCATGGATATTCTTACTGGGAGGAAGGCTTGATTAGTTATGATATGATCTATATATGTCATCATTCCCAATTTCCCGTATGTTACTAAATAAATAAAGGTTATGATGAACTTATGACATTTTCCTGTCGAATGGTTTTTTAGTTTTAGTACCTTACCAAGTCGAAACCAGTTTCAATGTTTATATATATATATATATATATATATATATATATATATATATATAAATATACTATGGTAGTTATGCTTATTGATGGATTACTCTGAATTCAGGAAAATTGTCAAAGAGTCAGAAACCTATCAACCAATTCGGTCATAAAGCAGTTTTGTCGATTTAATCTTAAACCTTTTGGCAAGTTGCCAGTATAATCATTTCCACTAAAGTTTGGCCGGAAGGACTATGGTAACAAATCCTTAAATGGTTTAGGACTAAATTGACAAATTGTCATATGGTTTAATTTTTTTTTGTTTTACAATTATCCGCTTTGAGTTTTCTGACACATATCACTTGTAAACTCATTACATACGGTAATTGATAAATGGATGTCACTGTGACGGCACTGTCGACCCCCTTCACCAAGATATGGCGTATGGGCAATGATGGAAATTTTGTTTGGTATCAGGGAGCACAACTGGTCGAGATTGGAAGAGACAAATTCAGTGATGCTGATTCAGTGGAAATTGAGTAAAAGCATGATTTGTTCATTCTAGGCATTTGAAATTTCTGACCCATTGTTTTCCATGACTGTTCGACACACTAGACCATGTATCTCGACAGTGCTGCACGGTAAGCTTTTCATATCTTCTATGTTTTTGCCCAAAAAGAGCCGCCAGGTTCCAGCTCAAGGTGTATGTCGACAGTAGATGGGAAGCTGGACATTGCCATTGATATTACAGCACCAGTTTCGCCTGGTCGGTACATTTCCTTCTGGACGATGGCATCTACTTCAGGACATAAGTTCGGCCGGCGTGTTTGGGCTCTGATTCGGGTAAAGCCGCTTCCTGTTGAATTCTCGTCTTTCGCTACGAGTTTTCCTCGCCATACCCAACTCATTTTGATTTCTTCGTGCGGGTTGATGATTCCCTGAAGGATTCACTCTGTGGTAGCCTCCAGGGCTTGAACCTGAATCTGCCTGCTGAAAGTGATGGCTCAAAGCTCTCCGAAATCCTAGTCATGAATGTTCCGCCTGCTGTAGGTTCTGACTTCTTTGGAAATGACAACTCCAACACGGTTGCTGAAACCAGTTCGGCCGATGGTCGTCGAGCAGCACAAGGAGGAGCAGAAGCTCAACTTTCCCTTCAACGACAATTTGCTGGTTGGCCAAGGAGTATCAGCCACTGCTCCTGCTAAGGACTTTGGACCCGGTTCGTACCCTGTAGTGAAAGTCGAGCCACGTGACCAATTGCTGCTGCAACTGGTGCGGTGGTGCCTCCTTGTGTGCATGGCTTCTTCATCCGCACCATCCCAGGTCGTCGGTAGCGATACTGAGGCGGTAGAAAGGTCGCTCCTGAAGAAGCTGGAGGAGACGGGGCTTCAACCGGGTGGACTTGAACAAGGAGATACCGAGGATGAACGCCTACAACTTTGGAGCAGTCCGTGGATGATCTCCGCGATGTTGCCAAACAGGATCCTAAACTTGGAGAGTTGCAGGAGATGGTACATGACACTCACTCTCTTTTTTATTCATCTGGTCCATTGCATACCTTATTTGATTCTAGTTCAGGCAGTCGACTTCTCGGAAACTTGAAAATGCAGGGTTTGCTGTAACAAGGAGGTGAGCAAGAAATTGCTGAAGGAGAACAATGGGAACATCAAGCGCCCGGTCATGGATTGTCTTACTGGAAGGAAGGCTTTGATAAGTCATGATCTGATCTATATATGTCGTCATTCCCGATTTCCCATATGTTATTAAATAAAGGGTTAAGAAAACCTTTAGATATGTCTAACGACGAGTGTAGCATGGATTTTGGTGTAAATAAAACCTCTAGGGTCTCAATCTATTACAATTGTACCAATTTAGTCTTAAATCTCCTTTTGTTTGCCAATTCGGTCTAGTCAAAGAAGTGCATGGATAATGGCTAAATGAGTGCCGTTCAAACCACCTTTTGCAACTTTCATGCGCCCGCCTGACCATCGTGTGGGTCGATCGGTTGCCTCTCAAGTACTTTTGGCAGCATTTCAAAAGTGTCGCTAATGGCTAAATAAGTGCAGTTCAAACCACCTTTTGCGGTATTTGTACGAATAACGCCTCCAAAACCTTCAACTCCCGATATTTCTTCAAACTAAGTCTAACTTTGAACGGATATTATAAAATCATTAGCGAAAATAGTTTTCGTTTTTTGGACATTGCATCGCGCCACGCATTTTGATCAATTTTTTGTTTTCAAATTAAGCATATCGCGCCTTCCTTGTTTTAACTGAAAAATTGTGACAATCGTAACAATTTGTGAGTTCGGTTGGGTAAAGTGTACGGATTTAGAGCAAGACGTGTTTGAAGTTAAAAGTTGAGGGGGTAAAATCTTTTTTTCCCGAAAAAGATAAATTATGAACATACTCATATCCTACCAAATAGGTGAAACAAATATGCGACAATCACTTTTTTTCTTTTCAATCACCTTTGCCATAGGTGCCAGTGTCACATGTAGCGGTTCATTAGTAGATAATCCCTAAATTTTGGCAACAATGTGCTATGTAGTTCTTAAATTTTTAATTTGTTTAATGTGATCCCTGAATTTTAGCCTAATGTTTAATTGGCACCTTAACTTTTAATTTGTTCAATATGTTCTATGGACTTTTGATACATACTTAATGTGTAGCTTCTGAACTATATTAAAATGTTCAATATAGTCACTGATCCTGAATTAATGGAAGAACTAAATTACACATTTTCATATAGTTCGGCGACTAAATTGAATATGTACCAAAAGTTCAGGGACTGCATCAAATAAATTAAAAGTTTATGGACCACATTAAAAAAATTGAAAGTTTAAGGACCGCATTGCACATTTGACCAAAATTCAGGAACTATTTGTGTCGTATCATTTTCCCATAATTACAAGATGATCGGGAAAATTATTTCATGGCATTAGCGACACTTTATGCAATAAAAAGTGCTATTGCCGCAATAAAAGTTCATGCTCGGACCACTCTCACTCCGATTAGGTTCGAGTCTTACTTGATCCCGGAGAGGAGATTAGCGAGAGCTTAATCTTCTCCCCTTAACGATAATGAAATTATGAATTGTCCCCAAGTGAAATTTTTTTGGGTTAATACCACGAAAAACCCCAAACTAGTATAATTGTGATAATTTTACTCCAAATTAATTTTTTGATCATAAAAAATCCAAAATTAGTACACCTATGATAAATTTACCCCAAACTAATATTTTGACCTCTAAAAATCCCATACCGGTACATTTGTAACAAATTTACCCTCCGTTAGTTTCCATTAAATTGGATTAATACCGCAAAAAATCACAAATTGGTACACGTGTGAGAAACGGAGGGTAAAGCATAAAACGGGCACACCAATCAACTGCCGCGTGTCATTTAATAAAATAATTTGACGGTAAAATTTAACGGAAATAAATTGAGAGTAAATTTGTCGCATGTGTATCAGTTTGTGGTTCTTGGTGGTCAAAAAATTAGTTTGGTGTCACAGGTGTACCGGTCTGGATTTTTTATGGTACTAACCCAATTTTTTTTTTTTGGGTCAAATTTTTTTTTGGGCATTGGATCCGTTCATTCTCGGGGGTCTTGGTCACGCACGAGCCGAAGCACGCACATGCGAGAGCAGGTCCCGCCCCCCAACGGCTAGTACTAGTTATAAAAACGCCTCCCATCGTCTTTTCCGTTCCCGATTCATTTCAATTTGCTCTGCACAATTTCTCTTTCTCTCGCTCTTCCTTTTTTCACTTCCTTCCTTCCTTCCTTTCTTTCTTTAGATCGACGGGAAAAAGAGCTTTCTCTTTCTGCAAACGAGGGGACTTCGATCTCGTCTCGCGCTCCGCCGGTGGCGGGTGATCGGAGGATAGGCGAGCGGGGATACCCTGATCATGTGGGGCGGCAACAGGGAGAATTTCCCGGCGAGGGGCTACTTCACGCCGCAGCCGCCGAAGCGGGCCATGCTGAGGCCGCCGGTCCCTCCGGCGACGGCGGCGGCGGCGCTGATGTCGGAGAGGAAGCGGCCCTTGCCGCCGCCGGATCTCTTCCACATCATTCACAAAGTGCCTGCCGGCGACTCACCCTACGTCAAGGCCAAGAGAGTCCAAGTAAGTGCCCCAACTTTACTTCTCCTTTTCTTGATTTCACTGATCGTCCTGATCTTGAATTTGGTGCGATCATCGAGGTCGTGTTCCTGTTATTATGTGATCTTTAGACGCCTCCTTCAAGGATCTTTCCTTTCGTTACTGTTTGCTGTAGCCTGTAGTTAGTTCTTTGCGATCATATGGTGTTGCTGGTGTAGTCCTTAGTAAAATTGGTGTGATTTGGTTCCGATGAATCAGTATATTTCGTTTGGTAATCTTGTGATCGTTGATCGGTAGGCGCAAGTGGAGCAGATCTTAAGTAAATATAGAATTTATACGTCCCTTTTTCGCGCACGAGGGTGCTCATGTGGTTGCGTGACAGAGTCTCTTCAGGACGAGCTTATGATGGGTCGCGGTTGTCCCTCGGATCTTGTATGAGTTGGATTGTCTTTTAATGGGTCGCGGTCGAATCGATTTTTCTGTTCTTGATTTCAGTTGATAGATAAGGATCCGAGTAAGGCCATCTCTCTGTTCTGGGCCGCTATAAATGCGGGGGACCGAGTAGACAGTGCGCTGAAGGACATGGCGATCGTGATGAAACAGCTGAACCGGTCGGACGAGGCGATCGAGGCCATCAAGTCTTTCCGCCATCTCTGCCCCTTCGATTCTCAGGAATCTCTGGACAATGTGCTGATCGAACTCTACAAGGTAATGTCGCTGATATACTGCACAAGTAGTTTTATTAGTTTCTCGTGTGTATCACTTTACTTTGTTTTTCGACGATTTGCTTTGCGAGGTGAAACTATCTTTTAATTGCACAACCAGATTTGAGGGCTCTTGTTGGATCAAAAACTTCGTTATACTCTTAGGATATGTTAGTTTTAATACATGAAGGGATGTCAATTTGGTTTTAGAGGCTCACCCGTGATTTAAGAGAGACAATTTACACACTTTATACATTTGATATGTGCATTATGCAGAGGTCTGGACGGATTGAAGAAGAGATCGAAATGCTTCAGCATAAACTGCGGGTCATTGAAGAAGGGAAGGGGTTCAGTGTGAGCCGAACAAAGACGGCAAGATCACAAGGGAAGAAAATCCAAGTAACAAGGGAACAAGAGATATCGAGGTCCTTATGAGTAGCCAAAGTTTTCATATTCTTTGTTCCGCTTGATCATTTGGTCCGTTTACAGTGCCTGCTTCTTAATGTTATGCAGGATAATGGGGAACTTGGCCTGGGCTCACTTGCAGCTAAACAATTATGAGATTGCCGAAGGACTTTACCGGTATGCTCTTGATGAGATGGCATCTTTATCATTAAACATTTTATGCTTACAAATGAAGAAAAGGTTCTTCTTTTTTATGTTCATTGTATGCATTTGATTTCAGCGAAGCCTTGTATCTGGAGCCAGATAAGAATAAGCAGTGCAACTTGGCTATCTGTTTGATGCGCATGAACAAAATAGCCGAAGCGAAAGCAGTACTGGATGCAGTCAGAGGTTCATGCAGCGATAGTGACATGGACGATTCCTATGCTAAATCTTTTGATCGTGCCCTTCAGATGCTGAATGAGATCGAATTGCTGTCAATTAAGCAGAACAAAGACGATCACAAGGAGATCCAAAGACCCTTTACATCACTCGAGTGTAAAAATTCAAGGGTTATCAATCGTGGAGCTTGGTCGGTTGCCTCAACAACCATTGCATATGGACATGGAGAAGAAACATGGATCTTAAATGAGAGAAACGGTGTGCTATCCCGGGGTGAAGCTCGGTCATCTTCAGAAACCATATTCAGTGGTAACTGGAGAGAAGTTTCCCACTTTGGAACTCCACTGAGATATGTCTCACCGGGAAATCTCCATGCCAAGGAAAACTGTACTGAGACAAATGAGGTGGGTCGGAGTTCGTCGAGCAGGAGTGTGTCTGCTTCACCGGCTTCTGTTAAGAGAAATATCGAATTTTCTCCTGGGGAATCAAGGAGGCATACCTGTAGGAGCTTATATGCTTCCCTGGCTTCATGTAGAGAATCAGAATCCAAGTCGAAGGCCACTTTAACTGGAGAGACAAAAATGGTTAGAAATTGTTCTGTGGCAATGGCCGAGCCGAAGAATTATGACGAGAATATGATTCACAGCGTAGTCATGGATGGATCCAGCAAGGAAGATCCTGCAGAATTGGTCAAAACTTCCACCAACGACATAAAAGATTCTGGTGGTAAGTTATCTGTTAATGCTAGAATTAAATGCTTTTCAGAAAAAGTCATGGCGGATTCTCATTTAATAGATGAACTAGTTGTTGCAGGGAAGAGTTTCTGGGTGGACGAGCAAAAGAAGAGTTGGGCCGACATGGCTGAGGAAGAGGAACAAGATCTGACTGATCCTCCTGTGCACCTGTGGGACAACTCGCCTCAGAAACCTTCTTCTTATCAAACTCCGACAAGGAGTTTTCGCGGTGCGTATCACGAAGATGAAGAGGGGTTCAATGATGAGAATCTAGATATCAACATTGTAGGTCATTCTTCCCATGAACGGACTCTGATGGAGAATTTAAGCCGAACTTTAACATTTTCACCAAGGAGCTCGGGCCGCTCAGCAGTTCGACGCTCTTTGAACTTCAACCAGATCCAGAAACAGGAATTAAACTCAGTCATGCTATTAGAGTCCAAGAAGGCGGATGGTGGCTCACTTCAAGGAAACAACCGGGTTTCTGATGCCGTGCCTGTGAAGAAAGTAGGACAACCGAGGAGAAAGAGACTGCAGGTCTTTCAGGACATAACCCGCCTTCCTCACACCACATGAACTCCCATATCCGAAAATTTGATCTGTCATGGGCTTCTTCCTCATTAGAGTGGTTTGTGTTTAGTTGGGTGTTCTGTGTTCGCTCTTGCCTTCATTCATCTTCACTTGTTCGTCTTTCTTATTTGCTCAATTCTCAGGAATAGTTCGGTTTCGGCATGATTGCTTACCTTCCAAGACTTCGAGGTCCCAAAACTGCCAACAGTTAGGACAGTCATCAGTTCTTAGCACGAAGATTCGTAGAGCGGAGTCATTTGATCCTCCCTATAGCTGATCAGTCGATGTGTCGCCACCCCTTATCGCCAGTGCGAGTTTGGATCACCAAGCGGAGATGCATAGCATGAGGGCTCCTCTTCAAACTGAGGCGGCGCCACCTTCTGGGAACCTTGTAATTCGGCTAATGAATCTTGCGGTCGCTATTGATCATGTCCTTCCCATGAATCTCACTCTCTAAATCCCCGCATTTTCGCGAGAAAAACTCTTCACTTCGATTCCTGCGTAAAGCACGAATCCCATCAAACTCAGCGAGCCATTGCTTATACAGCAAACAAACCTTGCACCTCGCCTGGCTTCATTCAGCAAGTTATCTTCTTCCTGAGCTTTCCATAAAGCTGTGTTCTCATTCTTTCTTCTCCAAAGACGATTGTAATGTGTTGGTAAAGTTGTGTATACTTCACTTGTAAAAATTTAAAAGCACATGACAATCTCTTATCGAATTCGAAAATCATTTTTGCGACTTTAAAGTGATAAAATGAATACCTGTTGGTAAGTTACTGAAAATTAAATAGGGCAACGCGCAAAATCTAAAGGCAATTGATAATTTTTACCATGGAATTTATGGTAAAATTGTTATTTCGTTGGTAATTTATCAACTAATAGACTGGTCAGCTTGTAAAATAGAAAAGCGGTAGACAATAAATGGGACAATGCAATTTTGGTCATGTTGATCGTCGCTTGACTTCAACTATTCAAATATTTGAGCGCGGTTCGGAGTCCTTGTGTTTTAAATAGATAAATTGATGATCGAGAAAAGTATATGAACTCGAAGATACGAAGAATTCAGGTCATGATCTTTTTGTGAGTGCAAAAATTCACTTAGATGATTATTACATCTTTACATTATTAATGATACAACTAAATCTATCGTCATTAATATGAAAATTGGCGAATGAATAATTTTCAATTATGATTAATAAAATCTGAAACTTGATAGAGTTGGGGGAGAAAGAGATTTTGACAATATAGAAATAGATATTAAAGCTTTGGGTGTATATATATATCATGACGAATTCATTATTAGTGCAACCAAACGTGTAGATAGTCTCTTACTTTCTTTTTCTTATATGTGAAGTCACAGATGATTACACATAACCACACGAGATCTACTTAGTGGTTAAGAAACAAACATACGGATTAGATGCATAACACAGGTTCGACTTTTGATATTATCAAGCGCAAAAAAAAAAATTGCAATTGGGTTATACACATTTCGATTTTGATCATTTTCAATCATCAAATGACTAAACTTTCACTTGAAAAACTCGAGCCGTCGTGATGAGAAATTAGGAATTTGATCAATTTTCGGAAAGCTAGTATGTGTAAGAATGCGCAAGTTCATAGTAGGAGGTTTGCCTTACTTTAGAACTTACGCTACGTGTGCCAATTTCATGTTTTTGGAACTTAGAACCTACACCCGAATGACCTATGAGGTTTTGGAACAATGTTTGAATCTATGGAAGGTTCCACATGTGTAACTATCTAATATTATCGAGGGTTAGTAGGGGGTTTGCCTTGCTTTAGAATTTACGCTATAGGTGCCAATTTCATGTTTTTGAAACTTGGAACTTACAACTGTAGGACCTATGGGTCTCGGAATAATGTTTGAATCTATGGAAGGTTCCACATGTGTAACCATCTTATTTTATCTAGCGTTTGACCAAAGTTGACCGAAAATATTTCGGCATTAAAAAAGTTCGATCGAAAGGAAGGTATATGTTAGAGTAATTAAATATTAAACCACACTTTCATTTAACAGTTTAAATTTTTAGAACAGTTGATAGTGATCTTATATAATCTCACATGGTATCATAGCTAAAGGTCATGAGTTCGAATCTTTTCATGCGGATATTTAACAAAGAGAATATCATAGTTTTCGCCACTACTATTCTTTCAACACGATTTTTCGAAAATCCGTGATCCCGATAGTGTTTCGAAAAATTGAACCGCATTTTCGAAAAATTCGGGTCACGATCTTTTTGGGGGTGCGAAAATTGGGTCAATTGTATGTTGGACCAAAAAGTTGTAATCGGCTAACGTTTGGCCGAAATTTCGAAAAATGTTGTTTTAAAATTTTTGCAAAAAAAATGACGTCGGCACCTCGCCTCCGGCGACCACCACACGTCACATTTAGTGTCGATGCGGCTTGTTCTAGCGTCGGTCTTGCACTCTAACGGCGAGGGCCTGCACCGGTGACTCCGGACCTAGGCCGACCCCGGCCTAGTCACACGCCAGACCACGTGCGGCCGACACGTGGTGGGGCCCGTACGGGCCTGAGGCCGTGCGGGCTTCACATGAGCCCGTTTCACAAGTGAACGGGCTTTTCAAGCCCAGTTCCGCACCCATCAAGCCTTGTCCCACCTCTTTCTTTGACCAAAAAAAAAAAAAAAAAAGCCTTGTCCACCTCTTTTTAAAGCCCTTTCCCAATATTTTCCTCATGCTAATGCATCATTCTTCCCTTTATGAGGTGCATCACGCCCCTTTGTTTCCAAAATTTTTCCTATAGATTTTGGTATACATTTGCTCATTTCAACCAAGGTAAGTCACACCCCTTTGTGAAGGATTCTTGTGAGGTTCGAGCTCGAAGAACCCGATGATCCTAAGAGGGTACAGATCGAAGAAAATTAGCATGGTGTCGATGTCGAGTGAAGGTTCTACACCCCCATTTAAAGTCAATGTTGTTATAATGTCAGTGTTAGGCTAGATTTATTAAATAGATAAGTCATTACACTACTGGCTTAAAATTAGGCTGTTCATGAATATATAGGTCATGGTAATGCTTAAATTATCCATTGAAAAATATATATATATATATATATATATGATTTTAGCCGGAAGTTCCATGTTTTGTCTAAGTTGTTGTTATCTTCAAGTTGTGATTTTTCAAAATAATTTTAAAAAATTAGACTTATTTTCTCTAAAAAGTATTTTCAGGTTTCAAAAGGAAAATATCAAGTTTGGTCGAAAAGGATGAAAATACTTTTGTTTAAGTGGGCCAAATAATGGCATAAATCTATTGATTTAAAAACTAATTATGCATCTTCTAATTACAAGTCATTAATCAATTATACAAGCACGCCCGTCACAGATTAGGGATCGTGCCTATTTTTATCATATAATTGCATATTTTCACAACATAAACATACATGGCACACAGAGTCATGCGAGGGGGGCGTAAAATGACGAAGGAATTACCCTCATTACGTCGGCGGAAGAATCAAAATTGCATCAACAATCTTAGGAAATTATTTGATAATTGCATTCGAAGAGCTCGAATGAAAAATGAAGTATGGAAAGGGTATCGTGGGGACCTAACTTCACTCCTTGCGATACCGAAAGCCAAATTATATGTTTCTCTAGATTTGACAAATAACCAATAGTTTCATACATTCACCTAGATGTCCAATCAATCTAATTCCCTAAAATCGATCGGTGACGACTTCATCTCTTATTTGGAAAAAAATCCCGAATTTTCCCAAAACTTTCAGAAAACTCTTTTCCGGCCATGTAATCGCTCTTTCTACCCCCACGGGGACCTACCGGGCGAGGCGTTCATGATTAGGTCGATGTTGATGTTCGATATAATCCCAAGACACAATGACATCGAAGCCGGAATACAAACGCTTCCTCCCGTTCTTTCACACATTCTTTTACGGAATTTACGGGACAAAGTTAGACCAGAAGGACAGAATCGCTCAGATTCAAAGATCACAATGTTTCGATTAAAGTTTCATCGATCAAATTGGATGCGGGACAGGAGCACGAGCACCAGCACTAGCTTCAACATCACCACTAGAAATAAAAAAAAAAGTGATCAAAATCACAATTATTGCATTGGCCCAAATTTTTTTTTTAATTTTATTAACTTTTCATAATCTCCACTCAGCCAAAAAATATTAGAAAGAAAGGGGGAAAAAAAATATAAAAAAATAAAATTTAGACATGAAAAAGAAAGAATTTCCAGTTCACCACCGGTCTGCATCATCTCCTCCTTCTTCTTCCTCCTCCTTCCCACTATCACCACACCAGAACCAGAGTCCCAGATCCCACCTCCTCCTCTTCTCCATTTGCCCCTCTCTCTCTCTCTCTCTCTCTCTCTCTCTGCGTTTCTTCCATGGATCCTCAGCCTTCCCCGTCGCCGGGAAGGTCGCCGCCGCCGCCCTCCGACCTCCACCGGACCGCCTCCTCCGACCTCCCCCGGACCTCCTTCTCCTCCTCGTCCAGATCCCTCTCCGACGCCGCCGCCGCCGCCGCCAGCGCCAGGCCCGCCGATCCGTCCTGGGTCGGGTGGTGGTCCTCCTCCACCTCCATCGCCGTCCCCGACTTCGCCCCGCTCGCCGCCCGCCCCGCCTCCGATCTCTCCCGATCCGACTTCCTCCCCTACCTCTCCTCCATCTCCGACCCCTTCCACCGCTTCGAGGACGTCCGGGACCACTCCTCCCGGGAGCGCGATCTCCAGGGCGGGGGCGGCGGGGGAGGGGCGGCGGAGGCCGGGGGACAGGGTGACGCCCTCGTCGCGTGCCTCCGGGAGGTCCCCGCGCTCTACTTCAAGGAGGACTTCGCGCTCGAGGAGGGCGGCACGTTCCGGGCGGCCTGCCCCTTCTCGAGCATCGCGGAGAACGCGGCGCTGCAGGAGAAGCTGTCGCACTACTTGGATGTGGTGGAGCTGCATTTGGTGAAGGAGATTTCGCTGCGGTCCAGCTCGTTCTTCGAAGCGCAGGGGCAGCTGCAGGACTTGAACGTGAAGATCCTGCGCGGGTGTGGCAGGATCAGGGAGTTGAAGGAGACTATTAGGCTCCTGGATGGGGATTTGGTGGATTCGGCCCGGCAGGTTCAGGAGTTGAACGCCACCAGGGGGAACTTATTGCGTCTCCAGCAGAAATTGAGGCTTATACTGTCGGTCAATCAAGCGGTTTCGGCTCTCGAGTTGGTGCGGTTTCCTTCATGTATTTCGTGTTCTGTTCTTCGACTTTTGGTGATACTTGGTATTTCACTATCAAGAAAAAAGTTCTGATCTTTACATTTCTGTCGATCAGCTGGTTGCATCCTCAGATTGCGCTGGTGCTTTGGATGTAATTGATGATATGCGGCACTTGCTGGTACGTATCACTCTGTTCAATGACATTGTCTTTGTCTAGGCTCGCTCAGTTGCTTCTGCAGAACCTAGCCTGAAAATGCTGAGAGAATCGAAACGAAAATCTTAAGCAAGAATTACAAAGGGTTGAGGACATGTACTGTTTTTTTTTTCCAGAATGTCATAGGATTTGCTTTCATCTATAAAATTAATGCTGCAGTATCAGATAAGGACCTTCTTAGTCGTGAGAGTTGGGCAATGATTAGATGATAAATCTTGCTAAGCTAGCTTACTTCTAGCACCTGAGTCTTGACTGTACTTGGCATTTTTGCTGATTGAAATGGCGGTACAGAGAGAATTGCTTTGACGGTTTGACCAGTTAGCTGACCAGTATTAGTGCCGTCTAAGTCTGTTTAGACTGAAGTTGATGAAACTTGCTGTGATGAAAACACTCGTAGAATGGAATGGAATTAGTTTATGTCACTGATAATCCTTTAAATATCTGTGAAGTAGCCATCACCAAATGGAAAGGTGTTTTGCACTCTCCTATTCGATTTCTAGTGAGGCACTTGAACATCAGGTATTCTTTTGATAATAAAAGAGCTTTTAATACAAAATATCATCAAGGGGGTGCCAACCCGTGTCACTGATCAGTAGTAAAATTCAAGTTGACAATAAGGGCTAACAGAGACTGTACTCTGTCGACAGAATTTCCACACTACCAAAAGTTTAGTGTGGAAAGCCATCATCATCAGGTATCAGGTCATGCTGTGCAATGTGCACATCAATGATAGTGCACTTTACTAGGATTGGGCCAAAGCAACTGGCTGAACAAGGTTAAAGTGGCTCGTGTTCTGGTTCTGGTTTATGGAACATTTAAGATGAAGAGTTGGTCAAACCTGCGGTAGGTCTCCTGAGTAGTTATATTTTCTGTTTCAGCCTTTTGTATGCAAGGCCCCGGTAGTCATAGAAAGGTGAAGAAGGCGAAGCCAAGCCAAAAGCCCTTTTAGAATTTTTTGCAAACATTAGAGAATTTTTTTTAATTTCTAAAATTATTAAAAACTTGGGTTGACTTTAGATTCATTATTGATACATTTAGTTAACATTGAATAAACATCTTGATTTCAAGCTCTAAAATAATAGAAAAAGGCCAAAAGCTAAGTCAAAAACCACATCAATGATCTAACAAAGGGTTCAAGTTGTACCGCTTTGTCTTATGTGGTGCATTTAGAGAAAACTTTACTGAATATTGCTTGAAGGGTTTGACGTTGTGTTGCTACTGTCTTGCACTCTTTTATCAGACATTGGTAACTTTGCTCTAGTTAAGGCTGTAGTTAGTGTTGTTTATGCAGATGTGATGGTTTTTCAGACCTAACCGAATTGGCAAATCTTATATGAGCATATTTTTGGTTCAATTTTCATAATGAAATCATTATTGATCAATCTTTGCCTTGCCAGCATTTATCTCCTGTCACTCAAGACAAAGCATGCTATTAGACATTTTATGTCGACCCAAACTTCTCCCACCTCTCCTTTCTATTTGTGGCTGAGCAAGTAGATGCCCATTCTTACCTATGCAGTGAAACTGATCCGAAGTTCTGCTCATGTGGATGCCACTTTCCCTTGCTTGAGTGCCAGCCCATATCTTTGGATGTATGGCCTGTTAAATATCATGATTGTTCCCAAAAAAACAACAATGTAGGTGCGACTGATAGCCCATGAAACGGCAAATTGGTTAAACCAACGGTCTTGCTCCATATGCTAATTCTGCGGCACAACATTCTCGATCATAACTACTGCAGTCGAACTGCCTTATGAAATGATTTATGCAGACCGCAAAAATAGTAACAAGAGGAAATGAGATATGGCCTCTTATTTTTGTGGACTTGAGTTTGGAGAATGGTGCAATTGCCAAAGTAAGATTTGAATCATGAATCCGTAATTTTATCAATACCAAGTGCTTGTTTGGAGTGACTTCAATTTCAACTTTTGACTACGTAAATTTTGAAATCACCATTTAACTTTTATTAACCCTTAACACTTGCAACCTTTTCAAAATATTCAAATCCTAACTTGTAGATTTATATGTAATTTTTTCATAATTTCTTCAAATTAAGATAATATTTTTTATTTTCAATTTTTGAAGGGAAAGTCATAAGTGGAAGTTGGAAGTAATTAAAAAGTGATAGGCAAACATGGATTTCTGCAGTGATTTGTTGATTGGAGCGATAGTCAAAGATAATATTACAGAGAAAAACGGATTTAATGATATAAACCTTTTGCAAGTACGAGCAATTATATGGTTGGGGAGATAGGTATGTTTACTATTCTGGGGGAAGTTGATTCTTATATGTTTTAGGATATCGATATCCACTGTATTGGCTGGCCTTAAGCATCAGTGACACTGGATGCCAGTGAATTTTGATGCTTTCAGTCTCTGTGTCCATATTTATATCCTATCCTTAGACAATTGCATTTTCTCCCTAAAGCATATTGTTGATATTTAGAGGTCTATGAATGAAGGTCTACAAATGAAGAACATGTGGCGACCCTGGTTCTTTTAATAGAATATGGTTCTCTTGTGCTTTTTTCTCAGTTTTCTTTTGGATAGATAAAAAAGGATTTTATCAATACAGAAAGCTTTCAGTACATCAGAATTATACAAGGACAAAGACTGAGAAAAACAAACAAGCAAGAGGAAAACATTACAAGACTTTACGGAACCAGCACAAAAAGATTAAAGTGAATACCAATGGTGGAGCACCTGAAGATTCTGAACCCTCAAACAATGTTTCGGTGCATTCTTTCCTAATGCTCCACATGAGAGAAAGTGGTGTAACGCTCTGAGTCGTTTTAGAAATTAAGTCTCCTACGTAGGCATTCCAACTACTAAAAAGTTGGATCGCATGTCTTGGCTTGGCCGATACCATCTTAGACATGCTAAAGATATGGTCCCACGCTTTGAGGGCAAAGTCACAAGGAAGAAAGAGATGGTCAACAGATTTACCTGGATGCGTACCCGTACAAAAGCAATCCGTGAGAATTAAATTTCTTTTTCGGAGATTCTCAATAGTAAGCATCTTATTCCAAGCTACTGTCCAGCAAAAAAAGGAAAATCTATCAGATATATAGGGCAGCCAGATTGCTTTTTTCTGTTTGTTAAACTGCATTGTGATGCCTTTTTAAATGTCTCTTTTTCTTCTTTGGCTTTTGAGATGGTTTCTGCTGCTCATATGTCTGTTGGTGGCGACCCTGGTTAGAAGCTGAGAGAGCGCTTCTAATCAAACTACACCAGATTCTTAACTTTACTAATTGTTTTTGGCTTCTATTTGGTATAAATGTTTGCCAGGATGGGGATGAACTTACTGGTCTACATTGCTTCCGTCACCTTCGGGACCATGTAGCAGCCTCAGTAGATTCCATAAACAGGTATATAAACGATTAATGGAGTCTTCTTCTCTTAAAGCTTTGCAATTTGCACTCCATTCTGCAAGGCTGTCTCACCCATTGCCAACTAACTATTATTTTGGCTTGAGAAGTACAATTGCCATTATTAGCTTCTAATTTGGAGGCTTTGATTCGGGGCACATGTAGACAAACATATGAGTGTTTACACTCGGTAGCTTCACATTTACTCACGTGTTTATGTGTGAATGTAAACATATAACTATGTATGTGTGAATGTGAACATGTAACATGGTGCATTGCTTATCCACAATTGGCCTAAAATATATTTCAATAAAAAGGCCATGGAAAAAATCTTGTGAGGGATGGCATACAACGAAAGTTGTCATAACATAGATCAGGGTATGGATCTAGCATTCTATCTGAAGTTAAGCACAGGTTAGCTCACTGAGTTATTTGTCCTGCGTACTGTAACATATGTGAGCTCTCAAGTTCTTGCTAAGGTTGAACCAATTTATATAAATATTTGCTAAAAGATTTCTTTGAACTTACTGAATCAATTTATATTGCTCACTAAAGTTTTTGAGGTAATCATATAAACAGTGGGTTCATATTGTCTGTCCACGAAGATAATTACTATGATAATTAGTCCTATACCCTGTAGTTCACTGACATTCTTATTGCATGCTTCACATATGCCCATCCATCTTTGTACCAATGAAAAGACGCAGATGTTCTGCTCTATTTCGATACTACTAATTATTCGGTTATTTTCCGTCTCTATGTTTGTCTATGTCATATATATTTCTTTTGCGTGGCTAGTGCCTTCTCTTTGCTTGAATAGTTAAAAGATTCTCATGATCGGGAAGTAAATCTTTCCTTATCAATCAGTTACTTACTGTAGAAGTCTTTAACTGTTAATGTAGCCGCTAGAAAACCTCTTCACAAGCCAAAGTGACACCTAAATAACATTTCTCTTTTCATACCTTTTAGCTAGAGGCAATGATGCACTTTTCATGTTATTTTTGTTGGGAAAGTCTCTTTCGTGTTTGGCTCAGTTCTACAATATCATTCCCTGTTTGAACTTTCTTGCTTCTGCTCATTGTGTTTTCTCAGAACTTACGCTTTGTCAGTGCATGGATAATCCTACTGCGAGAATCTGAGACTTTTGTTCTCGTATTTAATGGTGCCCTTTTTTGCATGTCTGTAACTTTACTTCCACACTGTAAGGTTTGAACGCCTTCCTTTTATTTTCTCATCTTGGGTGGATCTATTCATTTTCATGTGGTTGTTGGTCAACTTGAAAAGCTTATGCCTGAGTTTGAGATGTTGAGATTCGTGCATGTCTCAGCTTGGTCGCTATTCTGGTTCTTTTTGGGATTATTCTTTAGATGTAATACTATTTAAAGAATTTCTACAATGCCAATTTCCTTGGAGAGAAGATGAATGCTATGTGTCTTTTGATAGTGCGACATTTAATGCGCACATGACCTATATTCCAACTTCAATATTAGCATGCTTTTCCAGTATCTCACTCATGCTAGTCACCTTCATCGTGTGCATGACATTTATCTAAGTGCAGAAGTACCAGTTGTATTATGGAAAATGCAGCATTGTGCAATCTCGGTAACTTGTGGATTTTGCTCTTGTAGCATTCTTTCAGCAGAGTTTATGCGTGCTTCTGTCCATGATGTAGGAGACATGGATGTAATTATTTTGTCAAAAGTAAAAGCAAGGGCTTCTGTTTCTGCAAATGGGGCAGAAGATGAGGTAAGCTTCTCTCTGTAAGTCCTTCTGCTAGCAAGTACCACTAGCATAGTATCACTCTTATTTGCTTTAGGTTTGTTTTCACAATGATAATGAGCCCTTTCATCAACTACATGCTGACATAAATTTCCTTTCTTATACTGAGTGGCAATGGAGAGATATAGTGTGGAAGCTACATGTTACCATTCTTGGTGTCGTGTGACTCTTGAGTCTAAACTCTCATAGGAATGGCTCCATTTCACTTGCAAACCTGCGAAATGAGGCTCGGTTTAAAATCTTAAGACATTGGGCTGGGTTCTAAAACAAGGATTCGTCACTTAAAACAATCAGGATGTCAGGACATCTGCTTTGAAAACTTTGGGCCTAAATGAACAAATACCAGCCACCAGTTGACCAGTACTTTAAAAGTGTACTAAGAGTGTGCTTTATGAGCATATTTTTTCTTGAACTGCTTCCCATGGCACATTTGGTTTCTTTATTTTTGGGAGGTATTGTTTTGCTTTAAGTTTTGTTAGTGGCTTCGATAGTTCTCCTGACTCATTGTGGTCTACAGATTAAATTTGATGAGGAAGAGACTTCTAATTTGCGAGAACGTCTTCTCCCTATTGTAATTGGATTGCTCAGAACAGTAAGTCATGCGCGCTTTTCCGTTTACCTTAATTTGATGCACCATCTACTTTTTCAGTCAGGAAAATATTTCACTCATAATATTTTCTTCACATAGGGCACTTTTATATTATTGTGGGCCTCTATAGTAATTTCATTCACTATGTTATCTTACAGATTAGTGAAATCTAGTTCATCTAGATTTTATTCACGGTATTGTGGTAAAGGAGGAATTGTTGAGTGTTCTTTGATGTATGTCGTGTTCTGTGTTAATAATTTTATCTTCTTTGTTGTAATTGAAACTTAAGCATTATTTGAGTTCATGCATTTGATATGGGGTCCTCTCCGTTTTTTACCAATCACTAAAAGAAATATGGTCTATATTATTTAAATAGGGCAAGTGGTAATAAGAGTTACAAATGGTGGTAGGTGTTGACGATTGTCATATATCAGGGTAGAGAGGAGAGAAGTTTATACAAGCTTTCCATAACCCAGCATGGGATATTTTTGTGAATTTTTATACTTGAAATTGGTTAAACTCAAAATAAGACTAATTATTCTGCTCCCTAGTTTCATAATGGGATTTAGGCTCTAGTTAGTCCTATCAGCTGGTCATGCTACTTGATGAAGAAAAAGCTATTAAATGCGAGCGGTGGTTTTGAATTCCAGGACTTCTTTATTAGTTGTTTACAGGTCATGTTGTTTGTCATAATTCCATTTATTTTGTGTAAAATGACAGTGCAATCCATAAGTTACACGTTGAAAGACTTCTATGGGTATTTTATGGTAATATGATTCCTTTCAGGCTAAGCTCCCTTCCGTATTGAGGATATACCGCGATATGCTTACTGCCGACATGAAAACTGCAATTAAGACCACAGTGGCAGAGCTTCTTCCAGTTCTTGTTGCTAGATCTGCTGAGTTGGATTTCACGCCAGGAGAGCGGACAAATGATGGAGAAGGTAAGATCCTACCTAAGAAATGTTTAGATTCTCTTCAATAAGGGGAATATACTAATAACTTGTTTTTCCTTACCAAAATTTCCAAATTCTCACATGCTATGAATTAATCAGTTAACCATCTTTCATACTATAAGTAGCTTCATGGTATGGCGAGTTAAAATAGATGTTTTTTTTTTCATATTTCATAAATGTCTACTCTTGGAAATCATTGTAGTGGCTATGGGTTTGTGAAGTTTGTCTCAATTATCCTCTCAACTTAGTAATCATTTACTTGGAGGAAATTTCTTGTCAAGCTGATAGTTGGAGTATTCCTTTCTTTGTCATGTGTTATTTCCTTGAAATTATCTGATCTAAATTAAATAACTTAGGTGGAGGTTCATCTCTTGCAAGCAAGTTGAGGAGCCTGTCATCGGAATGCTTTGTGCAACTTTTAGGTGCTATTTTCAGCATAGTACGGGTAATGTGAACTATATTTTACTCAAAGTATATTCCACAATCCTTTAATTGGTTATTTGAAGGATTTGAAAGCCAGTCCTACGATTGCTGTTTGCTTGATTACGGTGTATCATTCCCAAGTTGATCCATAGCTAGATTTTACAAAGGATCCATTGAAGCGAAAGCAGTTCGCTACTTTACTTTGTTGGATTATCGCGTCTCAAGCTCAACATGTTGAGACTTTATGAAGTTTAACTGAGCTCCTTGCTAATATTGAAGAAATTCAGTGAGTGTTCAAGTTCTTGTGGATAGGAAGATCATATGTATTATTTGATATGTGCTTCAATTACTTATATGAATGCTTACCAGCTTAACACTTGTGCAACTAGGAAAATTTAGTGAACCTGCTTAAAACTTGTGCAACTAGTCAAATTTAGTGATGGGACTCTCTCTCCCTCTCTCTCTCTCTCTCTCTCTCTCTCTCTCTCTCTCTCTCTCACGTGCCAGCACACACAAACTAGCATGTGCTTGTTTATGTTTTGGTGTTATTAATGTCAGATGTGACCTGATGGATTTTGTGCTTGAGATGACCCACTCTTTAGGTATTATGTAATGTGATTTTGCTTCTTTTAGTGATTGCAGGTACATTTAGTGCGAGCTGCTGAAGTTAAGAAGGCTATTGAATGGATTTTGTGCAATCTTGATGATCACTATGCTGCAAATTCTGTTGCTGTAGCAATAGCTCTTGGTGCAGCAGCTGCAGAAACTGCGGAGGATACTGATGGTCAGATTGGTTCCATTCTGCCATATGTAGCTGAGAGAAATGGCTCTGCCAAGCTTCCTTCTTTTCAAGGAAAGGCTAACGAAAGTCTCACTACAACCGCAGTGTCGAAAAACTTCAGGTAACTTTTAACCAGATTCTTTTTGGTTCACTTCGCAAATTTTGCATCTGTAGAAGTAGTGGGAGATTATTGTGTTGTGATTGTCGTAGTTTATGAACTGTATTATTCCTTATTAACCCTTTTAAGATTGGATTAGTTTCGCTCATCAGGGTGCAATTGGTTGTTGGATACTAGTTTTCTGTATTCATCTTCACAGAAAACAAAAATTTGTTCAGGAGAGATATTTGGTACCCTCCCTCATTTGCTAGTTTTTTGGAATATCTCAAAATGGAATATGCATAAAACTGAAGTTTTGTGAAGGACTTGTTTACTGACTACGATTATAACAACGACATCAACTAAGCCTTATCCCACTAAACGGGGTTGGCAATATGAAGTTGTTTGTGAAGTTGCTTATGCCATTGTGGTCGGTCCTTTGTTAGAACCTCTGTGAGCTCTGGATGTTCCATATCTTTCCTTATCGTCTCCTTCCATATCCTTCTTGGTCCTCCCCTACCCGTTTTAACCAATGTATCCAGTCCTTGTTCACATCGCCTAAGTGGGGCATCTGATGGCCTTCGTTCAACGTGGCTAAACCAACTGAGACTGTCTTCTCTCATCTTATTCTCAATTGGAGCAACAACTACTTTTGCCCTAATAGATTCATTTTTAATCTTATCTCTTCTCCTGTGCTCGCACATCAACCGAAACATTCTCATCTTCTCTACACTTTTGTGCAAATGCTGTTGCTTAACTGCCTAGCACTCTGAACATAAAGCAATTGCTGGCCTTAGTACTGTCCTATAGGACTTTCTCTTGAGCTTAAGTGGCATTTGACAGTCACCAAAACCAAAAAGGAAACATATAAGAAAACATATTTTCAATTTGAAAATGGTTTCAAAAAACTTTGAAAAGGTAAAAATTGAAAACGAGAATTTTTCAGTAAAAGTGAAAAGTGAAGGGTTTTTAGGAACCAAGTGCTTTCTTAGTTTTCATTGCCTTCCACAATAGTGTCTTTCAAGGGATTTATCCTGGAGGTAAGTTACCATGACCATGAGCATATGGTTAGTGTTAATTTTCAAGCTCCAGCTAGATTCTGTTTCAGAATGTGAAATCTATCTATGGCTTTGTTTGATTTCTTTTTCCAGATTTCGAGTTCGTGTAATGTTTTTGTGATCATATGTTACGTGTCGATAATTGTACTTTGAGCCCTGAAGAGTGATTTTTTTCTCAAATTACCTGGACCACGAGTCTTATCAATTTTAGAAGAGAGATTACTGATTTTCGAGTAAAGGACGGGGGATTTGAGGGTCTTATCATGTCTCTATTTCTCTTTGCAGACATTCTTTGTAAACTTGTATCGTGTTCCTTTGGTATCTGGTCTGATATAATACTTTATCATGTTATGTAGAACAGTGGAAGTGATTGTTTTTCAGGAATTGCAGTTTTAAAGGACCAAATAGATCTGTTAATCTTAGTTTGTGCCATCATCTTTATCCTATCTAATTCCTAGATAAAAGAAATGACACATGGAGAGTGAGAGAAAAGAGGGACAGAGAGAGGACAGATTGGAAGCTCTGCTTCCTTCTATCTAGAAAGGAGTTGTGCTCTCTCTCTCTCTCTCTCTCTCTCTCTCTCTCTCTCCTGGGGCTTATGTTGAGATTGGTGAAAGAACTTTATTTTCAAGTGACAATTTCATTGGGACATGAAGGAGTCATGACACCATACATAATTCGTGGTATTCCTAGATAATAAGTACACATTGATTCTCAGGCCCTGCTATATTCAACTCGGTTTGGATTATTCATAGGGAAAATATTTCAATTGAGATCTACACGTTAGATGGAAAATATTTGTGGTATCTAACCTTCTTCCTTATCAAAATACAAAAGAACACAAATCTTTGTTTGGTCTTCTCTTTCCTTTTTTGAATTTTACAGTGCTCATTTATTGTTAGTAAATTATAAGAAACCTAATGAAAGCTTATAAAATTTCTTGCTTCTATGTTGTTTAGAAAAGATTAATGGCTTATGTTTGTTGATGTTGACAGAGCTGATGTGTTGCGAGAAAATGCAGAAGCTATATTTGCTGCTTGTGATGTCGCTCATGGGAGATGGGCCAAGCTCCTTGGGGTGCGGGCACTTCTTCATCCAAGATTAAGATTGCAGGAATTTCTGAGCATATACAACATAACGCACGAATTTATATCTGCTACAGAGAAGGTGCTTATACTTGTCCCATAGTCTTTTGGTGAACTGCTTGATTAGTATTTTTATTCGTTATTGTCGTCTTCGTCGTCAGTGTAGTTTTTACTTATTATGCTGTATCTTGTGTATGCCTCAACAGATTGGTGGAAGATTGGGATATAGTATCAGGGGCACACTACAATCACAGGCTAAGTCCTTTGTCGATTTTCAGCACGAATCCCGTGTTAGTATTATTATGTTATCTCAATCTTTCTTAAAATGTTTGCATTTATCTTGTTCTTTTCTCTGGAGTAAAAGTCAACTTATAATTGCTGTTGCAGATGGCAAAGATTAAAGCAGTGCTTGACCAAGAAACGTGGGTTGAAGTTGATGTACCTGAGGAATTCCAGGCAATAATAAATGCACTATTTTGCACTGATTCGTTATATACAGATAGCATAGATGCTTCTGAAGTCAGCATGGTTGCTGGAAATGATGTTCCAAATGAGGCAGCTACTGGACTACTGTTGACACAACAGGAAACTCAACCCGGGGGGGACATGGCAGTTATATCTTCAGAAAATTCCGACCAAGGAATATCTTCGTCACTGACAAGTAATTCTGAAAAGAACAAAGCAGACATTAATTCATCTTCTCAGGTTAATAACAGCACTGTTAAAGAGCGTGGAAAATCTGGTTCTCAATCTCTTATTTACAGAGGTGTTGGTTATCACATGGTGAACTGGTCAGTGACTTTCTTAGGCTTTTCCAATTGCTTTTTAATTTTTTGTCCTGCAACATTTTTCTCAAGTGCACTTTGTTTTCTTATATTTGCGACATTTATGTCATGTAATCTGGATTCATAACTGGTATTAGAAACTAAGAATTGGTTTTATTTTACTCGTAAAAGATCCCAAACTTTTTTGTGAATACGTTTTATGTCTTTAGAGCCAAGCATTGACAATACTTTTTCTTTGCACAGTGGCTTAATATTGGTGAAGATGTTGTCAGAGTATATTGATATGAATAATTTTCTGCCGACACTTTCTTCAGAAGTGGTTCTTCGTGTTGTTGAGATACTAAAGCATTTCAACACGAGGACATGTCAGCTTGTTCTTGGGGCTCATGCCATGCAGGTATCAATATCTAACGCGATGCAGATACAAATTCTTAAATAGGTCTTACTCTTCGTCTGTTTGACCAATGTTTTGTTTGTGTTGCATTAGTGGTCTTGCGAGGATCTTTATGTAATAAAGAAAAGCTATCTTCTTTCATGAGTGGTCTTGTTAGGATCATCATTTGTAATGCTTTTGAACAAGAAACACATCTTTGGACTAGTCTTTTCATGTTAGTCTCTTCGCACTTTCAAAGACTCTAGATTGCCTTACCTCCCAGTCTGCCTGTCTCACCATTCAGTCCAAGACATGGTGAGAAGCATTTCAATCAGAGTCCTCTCTTCAATACCTCTTCATGATACTCATCCTTTTAGCAGCTTCTACGCTACCGAAGCTATAACGAAGATCATAATAAGCATACTTCATTCAGGTCTCAGGCAAGGCATATGTCACAAGTCACAAAGCTGGATTTGCTGATTCTTTTTCATCTTACACATTTATAAATTCATTGATGTCTTCGAAAATTTATTTACTTCGTGTTATTAAGGTAAAAAGTAGCAACTACTCCTATTCTTACCAAGGTGCTTGAGGCTTCAGGAACACTCATTAGGGGGCCAGGAAAAAAAGCTGACTAGTTTTAACAAGCAGCGTTGAATCAGAGAGAATTAAAGAGGAAGAAGAAGGGGAGTTCAAAAAGGGAATCAAAAGTTAGGAATTAGTGAAGAGATTTTTAGTTTTTATTTATCACTATAGTCTGCCCAACTATGAACAGAATTAGCATTTACGGAGACGCCTAGCAAATGCAAGAAAGATAACAAATTCTCTAAGTCATAAAATCAAAGTTGAAGTTAGATAAGTTATCTTTTTCTAATTTCCAAGGTTATGCCTAAAAGATTTCTTCCTCCTTTTTTCATTGTCTCTCATGGGCTGTTCCTCTCACATCAGATGTGCTTGCCTCTAATCACCTATGAGCAGCATGAGTGGACCTGTTGCCTTATCGGACTTTTCTTTGGGTCCTCATTTGTACATCTTCGTGCGATATGTACAGCTTTTGTTTGCAGGTTCCATGACCTATTATTTACTATTGTCAGAGGGAAACAAACTTTGCACTCTTATTTTCTGTTAGTTTATTGTTTATGTGATCCTGCAGGTGTCAGGGTTGAAGTCTATAACTTCCAAGCACTTGGCCTTGGCGAGTCAAGTCATCAGCTTCATACATGCCATTATTCCTGGTGAGGGATAACAAATCTACTGCCACTGCATTAGCAAGTTGTGTACTTAAAGTTATGTTGCCGCATTGTCTTCCATGTCATTGCAAAATACTGATATCATTTTAACTTTCCCATTACCCTGCTTCTATGTTGTGCACTATGCCTCTGTTATCTTTGTGGGAAAACAATTGCTCTAAAAGGATCAGTTTTATTTTCATAAATGCTTAGACGAGGCATGGTCCTGCTTTCATGGGAAATATATAATTGTTTAAGCTTCTCATCTTACCTTGCCTAACTTGATGTTGTTGTGATGTTTATATGGTTTCCTCTTTTATTATTTTCATTGTTGTGATCTTCAAGAACTTAAGTCAATATTACTTACATAAGTTACGGTCATGGTGAATCTTGGGTCAGTTAAGTTTCTTAATGAAGAAAATAAAAAATTCTTCTACATCTGTTAAAAACAAAGAGGAAGCCTTCTCAGAACAGGCGTGCTTATCTTATGATGGATGCGTAATTTGATTCTGTTGGGCATATACGGCGGGAGAAACACTTTGCACCATATAGTCAATTTACAGTGATGATAGGCATGTGGCTTGATTATTTGGGAATTATTTGAGGCTTCGAATTCTGTTGCTAGGAAGTGGGATTCAGTTGGTGTTTTGCTCAGAATTATTAGTTAGATAAATGCAATTTCTTAAAGTTCAGTTGATTCATGTAACAGAAGAAAGGCCAATAGTTTTAGCTCTTTTCCAACAGTTAGTATTTTAGGTAAGCTTCTCATGGACATTTCTGAACAACCAGGCTTTAGTAACTTCAAATATAATTCACTGAGAATCGATGGCGGCATAACTTTTGTTGCATTTGTATATATACGTATCGTGCTAACTCACTGTGACTTATAATTTTTTTTGTCCTTGCATGTGCATGATATTGTTTTTTATATTTTTCCATGTGCTAGAACCACAATTTTGATGGCGAGTGCCTAAACATAGAAGCTAGCATCTTTCACACATTTATCTACACTAAATCTACCTATGTTAAGTAAAGACTTCTCTCATGTCTCTCTCTCTCTCTCTCTAATTTTTTCTCAAGTATCTCTTTTTGACATAATATTTATTTTTCGTGTGCATGAGACAATGACCTATGTACTCATATACTTATATTGGTCTATGTAACGAAGAAATCAGGCGTATTCTCTTCATGAAAGTACTTGAAACACGCAAGGCATTGATGCTGTTAGAGATGGATCGAGTGGCGCAGGTGAATAGATTATCTTCTCCTTTTTTCATTGGTCATGGTGACATATTTCACATCAATCTTGTTGGTTTATTGATGTATTGCCATTTATGCAAATCAATTAGGAGGACTATATCAGTTTTAGAGGAGTTAAAAGTTAAGTGAGATTATTATGGACTCTTAAGCAATCAGTTTTCTTTTATGGTTTCAAGTGCTTTCATATCAGATGACAGAGATAAGGAGCATTCCTTCCTGTTATCAGTGTTTATAAGTTTTCGATATTTGAATTCTTTTTATTACTTAATCTGGTTTAACCATGGAATAGAATTTCAAATGCCTTACTGTTCTGAGGAACAGGAGGATGCAAGATTGTGAATCAATCAGTAAAATTATAGGAAGTGAACATTTGGTTGTTGAACTGAGCATGCGGAACTCTGGTTGTGCAAATTAATACCGTTGCATAGTCAGCAATACAAATTAAATCTGTTAGGTGGACAGTCACCCATTTAATACATAATTGTTCTTCTAGATCATAATTCATTTGCGTTCCATTTCTGTTTGAATGGTGCAAAAAGAGCCATGAAATGCAATCAGCTGACATTCTGTTATGTGTTACCTGACTAAATCCATATGTTCCATATCTTCCCTACTCAACGTATGTGTATCTCCATATATGTGTTGAAGAGTGAGTTACATTTGCTATCTCTATGAGTCTGAAATACCATTGTTGCCTTAGGGGCTTTTTGGGTAAATTTGTATCAGTAACTGTGCTCACATGTATGTGTGTGTGTGAGAGAGAGAGAGAGAGAGAGAGAGAGAGAGAGAGACAGAGGAGGGTCCAGGAAACAAAAAATGGCACTTCTGGCTTTTGTTGTTACAAGGATTGTGGAGGCATCTGTGTCCCAGGTGTTCATTGTGAAGCATCCTTTAAGTCGTTAGTTCAGAGACTAACCCTCTTAATCTATATATCCATTGTACTAATCAAAAGGATGTTTGCCTTCAATTGAAATTTGAATCCACAGCGATGATGATTAGACGATTGCCGTTTTCGTGTTAACTGAGTTTGGCTCTATGTATTCTATTTACTCCACGTGGCTGGGGATGGACACGCTTAGCATATTGGTTCAGGACCTGTAGTCTTTGAGATAGCATTCTACTCTCGAACTTATGGTGCATTGACTATTGTATGTCACAATGGTTACTGAACTACAATAACTCTCTTTTCTCTTGCTCCTTTTTTTTTCTTTCGGGGGGGCGGCGGCGGGGATGTTCAGCTACTGTGTCGACCGTAGTTAAGAAATATAGCATTATGTCCAATAAAGGTCATTACATTCCTTTTCTAGGTGAGCGCTTCAGTTTTCATTATGAGATGAGGAATGCATGCTTTATACTTAGGTTGTGATGTCAGTTCCTGTTTTGTTAGGCTTTTATTTCTAGAAATGGTGGATATTCTTAGTTGAGCTATTTGGTTTTCTTTTATGGTGACTAGAGATTGTACAAATATGCGATAATCCTGTTTCCTTTTATCTTGGTTAAAGCACCAGTGGGCTTTGATAAGTTAGTTGACCCTCTATATCTTTTCTTTCAGGATTATAAGGTTCATCAAGATGAAATTCATTCCAAGCTGGTTCAGATAATGAGAGAAAGGCTATTGGTCCATTTGCGTGGGTTGCAAAGTATGTTCCAGAGTTGGAATAAAGTTGACGATACTGATGCTCAGCCAAGTCAGTTTGCACGATCCCTTACGAAAGTGAGTTTCATTCCTGAAATATTGTGACTGTCTTACGTTAGATTTCTTATGAAAATGCTTTCTGATTGGACTCATATACTGTTGTATCCTGTATATTGCAAAATATAGCAATTTCAATTGGAAAAAAGGACGTTGATGATGCTGAACCTCTTTTTTTATAAAACCAATTGTGACGCATTGTTCGATGATACAATTATAAGGTCATTTATTTGCCAATTGTCTCTTTGTTTAGTACTCTAGATGTCATGGACAAGACCTATCTGCAAAATAAAAGCAAGACTCCATACACCTATCCTCAGATCCCACACTATGGGTGCCTTTTGCACGAGGCGCCCTTTTTACTGTAACTCCTGATGTAAATTATTTCATCAAGTTGCATGTGTTCATTACCTTCTTATTGAAGGAAAAGTTTAAATTGACAATTGATTCGTGTATTTGTACTTTTGGTTTTCCCCCATCTTAACGGTTTACTTCAAGAAGCTCCAGAGGCTGGGTTGTGTTTCTGCTTGGTCATGTGGTGTTAAACTAGTCAATTAGATCTAAGAATGCATCTGTTTCATTTATTTCAAGAATTAAGCATAATATTGAAGAATTAAAAGTCGTTACCCTTGAATTTTTTTTATTGCAGGAGATTACTGTTGGATCACCCCTATGATTTTGTACCCCGATATGTTAAATTTTTAATAAGTGTTTGCATGATGTCGGTTGTTGGATTTTAGTTTTGACAGGACAGAAAGATTTTGCTTTTGAGACAAAGCGAGTAATGTTTTTAGTTCTTCTGCATATAATTCGAAGATTTTCGTGTATTGTGATCCTTGTGGCTTTAATTATTTTTATCCACGTTTCAATCAAGTTAATTTTTCTGCATATGTTTTGGAAATGTGTAGTAACTAGAAAAAGTTCACTTTAAAATCTAGATAACGATTTTCAATAGAAATAATTAGATGACTATATTGGCAAGAAATATAGTCATCTAATTCTTGTTGAAAGCTCTATTATTTCTTTCACCTCATAAAATCTAGATAACGATTTTGAATAGAAATAATTTTCTTCTTGCCGAACGTTTTGCTGTTAAGATATTACCATTACTTGTCTATTTTGCCTGTATCCCGCCTCTTTTTTTGATCATCTGAGTTGAGAATATTGCCTCCAATAAGTTTCTCAACAAAAGAACTTAATGAGAAGCTTCCAGGATAAGTGGCTTCTGTCTTTTGCTTAATTTTCTGGACATAAAGCACCTCTTAGTGGTTGCGTACCCCTTAATGTGCCCTTACTCTCGAACTTCTTTTGTATCTTAGGTAGTACGATGGAATTATGTCCTTTTGGATCCTAGGGATATCATGGAGTCCAGTCTTGTTGGATGAAAACGTTATGGTTTTGTCTTTTGATTTGTACTTTGTCATGCGAGTCCTTATTTGTCCAACTCATTTGTCCGGTTGGATCTTTCTTTTAGATTACTATGCAGATTGGCCTCTCATTTTTCAAACTTACCTAGCTAAATAATTTCATTTGAGAAGTGTGCATTGGTTCTCTCTTTTTCCAAGCAATATTATTCATTTCATGATTTGTCACAATTAAATAGACTGTTGGTCTAACTAACTGATGATTCAATTAATTTCTAGGAAGTTGGCTTTCTTCAACGAGTCTTGACTCGGACTTTGCATGAACCTGATGTTCAAGCAATTTTCAGGTAAAGTTTTGCATTTGAGAACTATTAGTGTACTCTTGTTTATTCTAATGGTTTATTTTGGCAATTTTTTTGTAGTATGAAGGAATAATTTATTAATAGAGAAGATTGTTCAAGTGCAAGAACAGGGGAAAAAATGAATAACAAGACAAACAGAAATTCAAAAAAATATCAGGACATCAAGTCCATGAACTCTTATACTCTGCAAAAAACAGAATCAATAGAAAATTCAGATCCTTCAAATGGTATCTTATCTTGTTCTTTCTAAATGCACCGCAAGAGGCAAAGAGTTTACACAGTATTTTGTTTATCCTTGATGTAAATGCAATTTCTTTCTTCTTGTGCTTGATTATATCTTGATTCTTTAAATGATGTTGAAGATTACCTCTTGAAATTCTTGTTACTTTATGTTGTTCCACCTTTTTTTTCCTCCTTTGTTTGCCCTATTGGCTCCTGATTCTCCCGAACCCAGAGTTACCAATGTGCTATGACTAATCACTACAGAGTGCTTCAGTAGTATTTCCTAGAAGTCTATTAGACTTCTCCTTCATATTTGTGTTAATGGTTAAGAGATTGCTGTCACACTTCTATGCGTCCTGTGGAAAATTTTCACGAGTAGTCTTGAATGCTGGGGAGATATCTTCATAATGAAGTTGTTTCCTTCAGCCTCACCATCTATTATCAGGAATGTAGCTAAAATCATGCACTGTGATATACTTCCTCGCAAAAAATAGAGCAAGTGTCCAGGCTCTAAGCTCTTCCTCTATCCTCCTAACTAAAATCATGCACTGTGATATTTTTGCTAGATTCTGTTATCTCTGAATCGTTAGATTAATGATCTTGGGATCTTGGAGTGGCAGGCACATTGCTGACTTTCTAGAGCCGTATATAAGTAGCTATTCTTTCATCATTAACCCATGCGATAATATAGTGGCATTAGCTCTGTTACCCAATGTCTTCATTTGCAGATTGCGCCTTATTCTTTTGGGGTTCTTTGTTTCCTTTTTGTAGTATGAGAGATCGTAGAACTTTCATATCATGTATTCAACTACTTAATTTGTTGCATCTTGCTGTAGGCAAGTGGTCTCTATTTTCCATTCACAAATATCAGAAGCATTTTACAACGCATTAAAAAGTTCTGAAGTAAGCTCTCCGGATGCAAAGAAGAGGTAATGTCTTCTTATTCAAGTTTGATATGTTATTACATCTAGTTCCTCTTTATTTCCTATGAATAGTTATCCTCGTTGTCTCATGGACAAACTGTTACCCAATTGTTTCTCTATTTTCAAACACCAGGCTTTGTCGGGATACACAACACATCCTGGGATGCATTCGGTCATTGCCTACTGGAGACTTGAGTGAATCTACCACTCCTAACCGGGGGAGACTTGATGAGTTCTTGGCTGAAAATTTTGAAACTTGATGAGATGTACAGTGAAATTGTCGTTTTTCTTATTTTCCGGAATTTAAGGACAGCCATATTTGAGGAGCATTTTGGAGATGAGGCATTCTTTCTTTCCTTTGGTGATGAGGTAACAGGTGAGTTAGCTCTGTCCCCTATTTTGATCTGTTGAATGCCCACTCAAAATTATCTAGCTAATGCTTTTTCATTGGAGTTTCTGAGCATTTGCCAGTATTGAGTGTGGATGCCATTTTATGGTTGCTGCATATTTGCTTGCATAGAATGATATCTATAGTAATTGACAGTTCACCTTGATAGGTTCGGACACATAGGATGGCACCCATTAACCCTTGGTTTTAGAGGGTTTTAGAGCTCACTAACCTTTCCCTTAACTCTTGGTAGCATCGTGAACATCAAGGACCCTAGCATGGAAATGAGGTCTTAGTATTGTATGGACCCCTTAAGATTTACTTGAACCCATATACATACATATAACATGGAAGTAAGCAAATTTCAAACCTTTAATGATGGTGCAACCACAGTAAATACCTCTTTCTACTCATATTCAACTTGTTCTTCTACTTTGATGGGTGGGTAATGGTGCACTTATGTGACTTCTGTAGCATTCCAAGCTAACTTGTCGAGTCAGGATCAATAACTAAACTGATCGATTTAATGAATGTTTGGATAACAACATGGGTGTTAGATCAGTTCACCTTCTTTAACAGATTTGCAGATTTGCCTGTTGAGGACAAATGTCTGAAGTGTTGCTATTACTCTTCAAGTTGTTTTGTCTACCTTGCTTAATTGATCTTGGGATGTTCCATGAAAGATTCTAGCTAAACCTAACATTGGATTGAGTCATGGATTTCATGTTCTCTTCTCCAGTCAAAAACATACGAATGTTACAAGTGACTTGGGTCATGAAAGTAGGGTCGGACTGACTGCTGCGTCAGTAATTGAGTTTTCTTCCAAGAAATAAACTTGAGTGCATTAGAGTGAATTACAAAATGAGAAATTGTGACATTTATTTACTATATTCCAGCAAACGAACAATTCCCCTTACATAGAATATTTATACATAAAAATGTTGACTCTCCAATACGGCAGGACTTGTTCATTTGTCCCACACATAAGAAGCACCGAGAGCATTCATCTCTTTCATCTCTTTACAGCTTATCATAAAGTAATCCTTTAGCAGCGACGAATATTGGGCTCACGAGATTTTATGCTCTTATTTTCTATATGATTTGCAGGTGTCTGATTGTTATATACTACTCCATCTGAATTATTAATGCATTGCGACGGTGGAGCTTTGTTGGCACATTTTTTTAGCAACCAGACTGAGAATATGATCCTTATGGCTACTAGGAAGTGATATCTTCCATGAAATTGGAAATTGTAAACATATAGAGGTTTCTCTTTTAGACCAATAGGGCGACAGAACCAGTAATATCGGGTAGATTTTTTACCTTTCCAGGTGCACAGAAGGCATTTCTTGATATTGTATCACTATCTGTACTACACCTTTTTCGATATCGTGAATGATAATTTTGTCACTCCTATGTCTCAGAGTAAGTTAAGATATACCTTGTATCTGCTAATAACTCCTTGTGGCATTATTACTGTGTAAAAACTTAACATGTAACTCGGTCTTCATTCTTTGAACCATCAAATGCTGTCTTTCACTTGTTATGGCAATGTCAACGTGTTTTTTTGAGTGGATGTCCGACTGCCTTGGCACTGAAGGCTTTCAATGACTATATGACGCTATTCATTCATTTGGGTCCGCAAAAATTTTGTGGGAGTCCACTTTTTGATCCTTATACGTCGATCACGACTTTAGTCGTTTCGCTATTCTCCGGCGGTAATGTAAGCTTTCCTATCAAATTTCCGGTCGAAACTTATGGAAGATTGTCTGGACCGGCTGGCGACGTATGGCACTTACGTATACAACCCTCTTTCGGTAAATTACACTTTTGGCCCTGTACTCAGGGGTGAGCACCGAGTTCTGTTCCACTCGGAAGCTTGACTAAATCGGCTTGGACTGACTTGTTCAAGGCTGTTTTGGTTCCCAGTTCCAAGACCGGAACCACTGATTCTACTTGGGAACCGGTTCAAAACGGTATTTTACCCCAAAAACATGAGTACTGGCACACTCATACATTGAGACAAGCAACCTCAACAGGATGCCTTAGGTTTGTTGTTAGTCCCAGTCGCAGTACTGAATCCCCATTACGAACTGCGTGAATATCTATTCCGGAGAAGTGAATCGAGGAGATGTTGCACCTGTTCCTGCTAGCCGAGCGAGTTCGCGCGGCAGTGGACGAGGCGGAGTTGTTCAAGTTCGAGTGCTCCAAGCTCGGCAAGTAGGTTGACCGCCTCTCCCAGATACTCTGCTCTTTCGTCCGCTTCACCATCTTCGCCCAATTCCCCTATACGAGCGCCCCATGCGACATGTTGTCGCCGAGTTCTCAATTTTGCTAGAAAAAAGTTGATCCTCGATCTCTTGAGCTTCAGGATAAGAAGGTAATTTCTTATACTAATCGGCTTCTCATTTTCTGTGTAATCTTTTTCTGGTGTCTAACTAGGGGGGTAAGTTGGAGGATTTCTCAGAATTGATAGTTTTTTCGCAAAAGAGTACGAGTGTAATTTAGTGAAGATCGTCTATGTTGTAGAAGCATACTACTTTTTGCCTTGGGAAGAAAGAGATCATAGAGGACATAGTGGAGGAGGACGAGAATGGCAAAGAGCAAGTGCCGGGCTCAAACCAGATCTGTACCGAGAGCCGATCAGCCCTACCTGTACTGGTAGGAATATGCAACGTTAGTCCCTGTACTTTGGTTTAGTGAAAAACTGGTCTCTATATAATTTTTTGACAAAAAACTTAAATTACTTACCTCACATTTCCATTTGAAATCTTCTCAAGATGCCAAATCAAAATCAACTATTAGTTGGTGATTCTTGTACTTACAGGTGTGCTTAATTAGATTGACAGTTTCATTAAATATAATTTTGTTGTATGTAGTAACTAGGGGTGTACCAATTCCAAGTAGGTATATTGCTTTTCCTTAAAGCCCAGCCTTTGAGGGGTGATCGGTTTTCGGTCCGGTCAGGTCCTACTCAGGAACCGGGAACCGGACCGGCTGGTCCTGGGACTAGGAATCGGACCCGACCACGGTCCAGTTCTAATGAAACCAATCACTTATTGTCATTACATTGAACAAAAATAAATATCGGGAGTAAAAAAGTTCAACACTCATACATTCCAATTTGTGACTAAACAAAAGTGAATGTCACTGGGAAATAGGGGAAATGGAGCTTCAAGGTGACGTTCCCAGCGTCTCTTCACTCAGTCATCTTCTTGCCCTTTTTTTTCTTTGGGAAAAATATCTCATCAATTTTTTTAATTTGGAAAAGTTTATGTTGGTTAGAATTTAGAAAGAGGGCACATGTTTCTGTTCTGGGTTACCAGAGTGTTGACAATTTCGTTTTTCTTCGTGCCCCCATCTGATATCCGGTCACCTAGGAACTACAGCCTTTATGACTGAGCTTTTCCAGGAACTGTTTGTAATGCAGGTGTTGATTTACTGAAATAAGCATTTGCGTTAAAGATCTAATAAATAGGCAAGAGGGAATTGGGGAAAGGCAGATTAATTAGATTAGGGTTTCTACTTTCTTCAAAATTAAAAATATATATATTCGGTCCGGTCCGGTTCCCACCCTGAAATCGAGAATCGGACCGCCTGGACACCGGTTCCACTTTTAGGAATCAGGAATCGAACAAACACTCTCGGGGACCGGACCAAATTGGCCGGTCCGATCCGGTCCGGTCCGGTTGGTTTCTAGTTCGATTGGTCCGTCTTGCTCACCCCTACACCCTACATGCACCGACTCTAAGTTTGTGAAACCTAGAACCTAGTCTATAGGTTCACACAACTACCTTGGAACCTGAAATTTGTCAATTCCACAAATTTCATAATCTCACTCTTTTTTTAAAAAAATAAATAAAAGTTCCCGCGATTCTAATTATTAACACATCAACGTTCGGTACAAAAACACTAGTACATTACATTATTGTTAGGAAATATAACAATAAGGTAGAATAGTCATTGAGAGTTTAGAGGGTTATATATATGCTCTTGTAATCCCTATTTTTAATATAAAGGAATTATTATATCTTTCAACATGGTATCAGAGCCTGATCCGTAATCCCTAGTCGCCTCTCCAGCCTCTCCATCTCCATTGCCATCATCGTACTGCTTCAGCCACTCCAACCACTTGCCCAGCCTACTTCCCTCCATCTCGTTCTCTCCATCTCTTTTCTTCGTACCCCTCGCCAGTCGCCACAGCCCCGCGCCTTAGTCCCTCGCCCAGTCTCGCACACTACTCATCTCCTCTCCTCACAAGCTCATGGGTTTGCAATATGGGTTTGTGAACTGCTCGTGGGTTTCCGAACTTCTGAACTGCTCGTGGGCTTGCTACAAGGGCCTACATGAACAACTTGTCTCCACAACAATGACAAATTCAGTTCTTTGTTCTTCACCCAGGAAGTTGATGCTCTATGTTCCTTGCTGATTTTTTTTGGTGATTTGCACTAAAGCGATAATGGCATCTATAGACCTATTTAACAGAATTCTTGAGGAGAGAAATGCCTTGTCATTATATGTTCAGGTGCTGCATTAATTTTATGAAATTTTGGTGAACTGCTGCGATTAGTGGTGGTTGAATTGAGCCCAAATTTTTTTTTTTCAGAAATTACTATGTGGTTGATTGGATTACAGGAATTAAGTGTTGGCTGTTGTGAAGTTCATCTTTGGGGCTCAATCACATCTTTTATTCACTGATGGCGACTTCTGGTCATTTTCAATTAACTTGTGTCAAGTTGGATGGAACTAAGTATTTGTCCTTGTCTAAAGCGGTCAAGGTCTATATTACTAATAGCAAGCAACTTGACTATATTACTTCTACACTATCGTCTGACAAGGATAAAGCTGCCGATTGGATTGTAGGAGATACAATGATTCGGACTCTTTTATGGAATAGCATGGACCTTAAGGTCAGTCCTCACTTTACTTAGTGTGACTCTGCTAAGGCAGTTTGGGAGAAATGTGTATTGCTTTATTCTGGGCAAAATAATATGACGCAGGTATGCGACACGTGGGAAGCGTTATTTGATATTCAGCGTGGAGATCAATCTTTATCTGATCATTATGCTCGGTTCACGACCCTTTGTAAGCAATTGGATACTTATCTTCTTGCCTCGAATGACCTAATTGTTTTGGCCAAATGCCAAGAGGATCTGCCGATGATATTATATCTCAAGTCATTGGGGCTTGAGTATTCATCTCTTCGACAATATATTACATCTTATAGCTCTCTTCCTACAGTGGATGAAATCTTCTCTTAGGCTCTCCGTTCTATAATCACTAAAGATTTCCTCCACGTTGACTTTGGAGATGAGTGCTATGCTTTCCCATGGTCCTAGTGGATGTGGAGGTTAGGGTCGTGGTTACCGAGGTTGTGGACGCAGTTTTGTTCATAGTGGATGCCGTGGAGTCCGTGATGGAGGGGTTAGTACTCGTGGTGCCATTAGTTCTGGGAATGGTCATGGCTCACTCTTTTGCCATTAGTGTCAAAGAACCGGACATACAGAAACTTATTGTTATATTCTTCGCCCAGAACTCATACCAACTCTTTCTGCATGTGCGGAGGTTGAAAATTCTCTCGTTCCTTCCTCACCGATTCCACCAAGTTCAATTACTGTGCAAAATACAAGCAATTCCGTTACATTGACATGTGCTCAACAGATGACAGGATCTTTAGCTCCCACCGCAACTTTGGCACAAACATCCAAAGATAGTTCATTTTGTTTGTTTTCTACAGCATCTGACTCTTGGGTTATGGACTCTGGAGCTACCAATCAAATGACTGGTAACTCTAATCTACTGTCTTTATTTCATTCTACATCTCCTTTATTGCCAAACTCGGTTACATTAGCGAGTGGCTCACAATCTCAGGTTACTGGTATGGGAGTTGCTCATTTGAGTCCTTGTCTTTCTTTGCCATCTGTCTTTCACCTATCAAAATCTCCATATAATTTGATTTTTGCTAGTACTTTAACTAAAGAACTAAATTGCTCAGGACCTTTTCCTCTTCTCATTATGTCTTTCAAGATCTGAGGGCTGGACAAATGATTGGTGGGGGACATGAATTGAATGATCTATACTACCTTGACAAGAAGGTGTTAGCTGATGTAGCTGTGAAGCGCACATCCTTTGATGTGTATTGGATGCATTGTCGTGCTGGTCATCTGCCACCGAACATTCTTTGGCGTTTATTTCTTGAGTCTGAGTCTGTGAGTTCCTTTTAGTCTAAAGCCTATTAGTTTGGTAAACATCATAGGACCTCTTTTCCTTCTCGCATTAGAGTCGTGTGTCTAGTCCTTTTGAGCTAGTTTACTCAGATGTACGTGGTCCGTGTTGTGTTTCGGATTTTTCTTGTTTCAGACAAATTGTCACATTCGTGAATGATTTTTCCCGAATGACTTGGTTATTCTTAATAA